CATCAATTTTTGAACTATTGTTATAGACGATATAGGGAATAGAGTCAAGGTACATATCCATTTACATTATCAGGTTTTCTTTCGTTTTGGGCTTAGAAAATAGTAAACCTATGAGGAAAAAGACTGGTTCTTAACTTTTTTTGAGGAGTATAGTTGCCTACGTTTTTTTTTACTTGTATAGCCTTAGCCTTGGCCTCGGAGTTTTATCACCAAAACATTATGTCTTGATTTAAGACCTAAATAGGTTGAGCATGCCCTGCTATATCTAATAAATCAATATACATTAGACCCTATATGCTGGATGCAATGCTACTATCCGAATTTGGAAATACGCAATATCAAAATTGAAGTCATCTCGGTACTCATATAATTTATAGGCTGTTGTCTGGTTCAATACACTGCCAATTCCAAACATTACTATCAGTAGGACGGCACATTGAAAAAACCCATTGTTGTTTACCAAACTTTATATCAAAGTGGTGTAGCGATTTATGACGTCATCGCACTACTTGTTTCTGGTCCGTTGGCTACCATCTTTATGAGGTCCAATGAAACGGGTAACGTTTAAACATTTGAAAATGAAAGTGACGGATAGAATTCTACTGATCTCTTCTTTCCAACTATCTCGTTTTAATGTTAGAAAAATGCACATAAATGGGAGTAAAATGCAATCAAACACGTGGGACTTTCACTCATTTTGTACCCTATATTCGTGCGAAATTAACATTGATTAAACATAATTTTTTTTAATGTCTGAATCGCTTAAAAGTTAAAGTAAATACGATATTCTATAAGTACCAAATATCAATCAGTTCCGATAAAATGCCTTCATTTGTTACATTTTCTACGAAAACGGCTGGGCATAATTTCGGTAGAAATGTGTATTTTACGACGTTATATGCATGGTTGAATCCAAAAAGTAGCGTCATTCAGGAAATTATCATGTGTGCGTAAAATCATGTGGATATTTCATTTTGAGTAACTGAATTATCAAATTGACATATATATTGTCTTTGGAACATCACCTTTACACAGAATTATTTTCATAATGATTGCTCGATTTGCTCCATGATGAAATGCAATTTTAGACCTGGAGCTGACTCGTATCAAAAAGTATTTAGCAATGAGTTCAGGCTCACTGATTTTAAAGATAGATAAAATGAACGAAAGGGAAAAGGTTATGTGTGCCTAAAAGCATGTGGATATTTAACCTTTAATAAATGAATTACAATTTTGATGTTTATATAATCTGAAGAACATCACCTTTACACATAATTATTTTATGATAATTGTTCGATTTTTTCATGATAAACTGCAATTTTAGACCTGACACATATTAAAGAAGTATCGGACAATGTATTTAGGCCTACTGATTTTGAGGATAAATAAAATGAGCAAAAGAAGAAAAGGTCACGTGTGCGCAAAAGCGTGTCAGTATTTGGATTTGAAGAAATGAATTAAAGTTTTGACATTAATATTATTTGTGAAGCATCACCTTAACATAGAATTATTTTCATAATTTTTGCTTGATTCCTTCCATGAGAAAATGCAAGTATAGACCTGACACGCGTATCAAAGAAGTATTTGGCAATTTCGTCCAGTCTCATATTGGTTTTCAAGGTAAATGAAATAAGCAAAACTGGAAAAGGTCATGTGTGCGTAAATGCGTGTCAGTATTTAATTTTGAAGAAATGAATTCATTTTTTGACATCAATATTATTTGTGAAGCATCACCTTAACATAGAATTATTTTTATAATTTTTGCTTGATTCCTTCTATGAGAAAATGCAATTATAGACCTGGCACGCGTATCAAAGAAGTATTTGGCAAATTCGTCCAGTCTCATATTGGTTTTCAAGGTAAATGAAATAAGCAAAACTGGAAAAGGTCATGTGTGCGTAAATGCGTGTCAGTATTTGGATTTGAAGAAATGAATTAAAGTTTTGACATTAATATTATTTGTGAAGCATCGCCTTAACATAGAATTATTTTTATAATTTTTGCTTGATTCCTTCCATGAGAAAATGCAATTATAGACCTGGCACGCGTATCAAAGAAGTATTTGGCAATTTCGTCCAGTCTCATATTGGTTTTCAAGGTAAATGAAATAAGCAAAACTGGAAAAGGTCATGTGTGCGTAAATGCGTGTCAGTATTTAATTTTGAAGAAATGAATTAATTTTTTGACATAAATATTATTTGTGAAGCATCACCTTGACATAGAATTATTTTTATAATTTTTGCTTGATTCCTTCCATGAGAAAATGCAATTATAGACCTGGCACGCGTATCAAAGAAGTATTTGGCAATTGCATCCAGTCTCATTGATTTTCAAGGTAGATGAAATAAGAAAAACTGGAAAAGGTCATGTGTGCGTAAATGCGTGTCAGTATTTAATTTTGAAGAAATGAATTCATTTTTTGACATTAATATTATTTGTGAAGCATCACCTTAACATAGAATTATTCTTGATTCCTTCCATTAGAAAATGCAATTATAGACCTGGCACGCGTATTAACGAAGTATTTGGCAATTGCGTCCAGTCTCATTGGTTTTCAAGGTCAATGAAATATGCAAAACTGGAAAAGGTCATGTGTGCGTAAATGCGTGTCAGTATTTAATTTTGAAGAAATTAATTAATTTTTTTACATTAATATTATTTGTGAGGCATCACCTCTACGCAGAATTATTTTTATAATTTTTGCTTGATTCCTTCCATGAGAAAATGCAATTATAGACCTGGTACACGTATCAAGGTTGTATTTAGAAATTGAGTTCGGTCTCCTTGGTTTTCAAGGTAAATTAAATGAGCAAAACTGGAAAAGGTGTGCTTAAAAGCGTGTGAGTATTTAATTTTTGATAATTTTTTTTGACATTTTTGACATTTATTATATCTATGGGGAATCATCTTTACACAGAATTATTTTTCGATTCAAATTTAGTTCCTTTATTAGAAAGGCATGGCTAAGATTGGTTCTTATGTACAACTGTAATGAGATTTTTATGTTTGAATCGCAATAATGTCAAATGTGCGTGAATGCATGTCAATATCTTTTTTTTTAAAACTGAATTATGATTTTGACATTTTCATAAGCTTTAAACCATTGCCTTTCCACATATTTATTTATTTTAACATGAGAACTTTAAAAACGTTCATAACTGAACGGTCAATGTGAGTTGAATTAAAATAAAAAATATCAATTATCTGAGCATTTTACGTTACATTACGTCATACGGGATTTCGTGCTTTAAGTGGGCTGAAAGTGGAAATGGCACGTGTGCAAAAACGTTTGTTATCAATTCATCTTTCAAAACACATTTTTATTTTTTACATATCTATGATATATAACCTATGAAAAGAATTATTTTCAAATTAATTGCTAGGTTAATTCAATAAGCAATTCTGAGGTATATTTGAACTTTAATTCCATAGCAGATGTAATTCGGACAAAAGTTTTAAAATTCAAGAAGAGATTAAATCGATCAAAATAAATCTTATAATTCAAACAAGTCGACAATACTTGGTTCAGTTCTTTCATTTTCAATCATACCAAGGTGATAGATTAACATAAGTGACCTTTCGAAAACATACCGTTTTTGTAGAAAATGAAAGAAAATCGCGTTATAACACGAGTAATTGTCAAGTTCACGTCTTAAGTTTGATGTGGTAAAAAGCATTCTTCATAAGTCACACATTTAAGTTAAGGGAAGCCAAGATCATTTTAAAAATGAAACATTTGAATAGATATTTTTAACATTGAAATAAGAAAGAAAGTAAGCTTATACTAGTAGATTTGCTAGAACTAGCTGTTTGGAATTCATCAACTTTTCTCCACAGGATCATTTTGTAGTACAAATGCAGGTCATTCAAAGGAAATGTAGGTTTCAACATCCCCGTCTATGAATATTGATCTTTTTTAGACAGCAAAGGTAAGTTTAAAATAGAATTACTTCTTACGAATCCAAATTACATTTAAACTTAGAATTGTGATCTACGATCTTATGGGTATGTCACAAATTTGATTAGATACATTCACTCAGCAGGACGTTAAACATGTAATTAACTTTACAAGCGTAACTATAGGCAACTTCGATTTTAGTATGTTCAAGTTCTGTAGTCTCGAGAGTCAAACGATTATCGAATTTCATGATGACAAAATATCGGATAAATATGACAAGAAATAAAAATTTGTTACATTTTTTCCCAAAAAGTTGTAAAATAAAAATAAACTAAAAAAATAATATTTTCACGACAAAAAATAGATAGGTCAACTGTATTGATTATACATGACGTTTTCAAAGAGTAGAGAGCTAGATTCAAAGCACCGTTCCTGCAAGTTTCAAATGAAAATATTAAAAACTGCGCGAGTAAGAGGACCGCAACTTTTTATGTCTACACTGACAAAAACTTGAAATTCACGTTGTAAAGATATAGTCCATCGCGGAAGTGCACGTCATAAAGCTGATGGGTTAAGGCAATGTGCCGTCCAACTGTATACAACTCTGTTTATAAAACAGCGCTGGGCAGCGCTGTAAAACCTTCACTGTTTTCAGTACTACGCTGTTCATAGCAGTGCTATTGAGACATCTCTATGTACTCGTATAGCACAATAGTACAGCGCAGTGCTCGATCTGCACTGTTCAGTACTGTTGAGAGCGCTGTAAAGTGTTGCAAGATGATGTTGCGGATTGGGGGTGTAAACAAGGTCAAGATAAGGACACTGCTGAAATTTAGGGGGAGCCCCCCCCCCCCTAAGATGGGCCAAGAAAAAAGATTGTTCCAAAAATGTTGGCCCAGAAATTTTAGGGTCTCAATCAGTGGGCCTTTATGGACATTACTGGGCCTTTCTAGGCATTATTTTTTAATTTTTTCAAAATTCTAGCAGATATGGGCCCAGGAATTTTTCAGACAAAGCTTGAAATTTGTCCCTGTTAGTTTCCAGATCCGCCTCTGTGCACTCATGTTAAATTCATTTGTCTTTTTTATCACTAACACGGAAGGTTGTATATTCGTGTTGCATTGCATGTACTTCATACAAGCGTACAGCAGAGAACCAGGCACTCATATTCCAAAATGTTAGTCTACATTCTTCTAGGCTGTTTTGCTTTTTTGGTGTATGTCTTTATCAAAAAATACACGGATGGGAAATCAAAGATTATCGCAAAGATCCCAGGACCTAAAGGAATACCAATATTTGGGAATGCACTTCAAGTTGACCTGGAACGTATTCACAAAGATTTACTAAAATGGACTGAGGAGTATGGGCCGATCTTTAAGTTGAATTTTGCCGGGGAATTGATAGTTGTACTTAACAGCTTTGATGCCATCTACGAAGCTCTTGTCACAAAATCAGCAGATTTTGCAGGTCAGTTCACCATTATACCACCTATTGATGTTTCAAATAGTACCTTTTATTCAAATTCACAATTGTAAACGGAGGTATGCAATCAATGCTCGACGACAGTCCAATCCTAGATAATGTTTTGCATTGTTTGCAAAACAAAAATGTTTTGGAACGTATGTATATAACACAATCTTACTAACTCAACTATCAGGAGACATAGGATATGTTTAGAGGGGTTGTATCATACAATATGAAACAAGTCTCATCCCCTCGGCCCTCTTAGTAATCTGCTTCCATATTATCCCACGCCAAAGTAAGCATTAAATATACATCGGATCTTGTGGATTCAATTCGTATGAATTAGATCGGGAATTTTTGAAAATCATTCATATAGAACCGTTTAAGGTGCCATGATACTTAACAGGAAATGACAAAACAGTAAATGACAAAAAAATCTTGCATTTTTAGACATTTTTTGATCAAAGATAACAGAGTTCTGTTTTGACCTCCAGACAATTTAATTATTTCCACACATCATTTACATGACCAGGATCACAATGTGCATGGTCAGAATGACCCTAAGCATGATGAAATAATCTTTTCAGCCCTTTGAAAATGTGACTGAAAAGTAGGAACTAGGGAAGGTCACTGAACAGAATCCTATGAATTTTTCAGAGAATGTGCCCAGTATAATGCTATAACTGATACAATCTTTGAAATTTTAGAAAATTGTCTTAAACAAAAATGGCGGTCATAAAAAGGAAAATAGATTGCTTTTCAAATCAGTTTTTCATTTTTTCTTTTTCTATGAATGATATCAAATTTTCAAAGATTGTATCATTTAGAGCAATATATTGGGCACATTTCCTGAAAAATTCGAAAGATTCTGTTCAGTGATCTTTCCTACCTCCTACTTTTAGTTATTTTTCAGTAAAATATTCAGAGGGCTGAATAGGTTATTACATAATTTTTATGATCATTCTGACCATGGACATTGTGATCCTGGACCTGCAAATGGTATGTGGAACTAGTTAAATTGACTGGAGGTCAAAACAGAACTCTGTTTGTTCAAAACATGTCTCAAAATGCAAAAGTTTTTGTCACTTCCTGTTTTGTCATTTCCTGTTAAGTATCATGGCACCTTCCCCATGATCTCTTTACTTTTATGTTTACGATAGCTAGTTCAAAAGAATAAAACTGCATTATTTTTGGGTGGCTGCTCTTATACCTACCAATAATGTGCAATGCTGTTTGCTTACTTTCAAAGGCATAGGTCTCGCATCCTTGTAGAGGTTGACACATAAAGAAACTTTTTCATATGAAGGAATGGTGTGTGGAAAGAGGGTTATTACATGAAATAGTGTGGTATACCTAGAATAATAAAATTGTTGACATTTTTCCGTCTAGACATACTCTCCTATAAAACTGTTTATGGTTTCTACAGTATATGTCATTGATGCTATGTTAGTCTGACAGGCAGTGAGTAACACTGGCGGATCCAGAATCTAACAAGCTAAGGGGGTCCCAAATTTTGGGTCAGGAAAAATATCGGGGCCCTAAAACCAAAACTTGGGCCTGAAGTTTTGATAATTTGGCCTAAAAATCCTCCAAAGGCCCATTTTTCTGAGGCCCAAAAACTTTTGGGCCCAAAAATCTTTGGGGCCATAAAAAATTGTCTCGATGTTTACATATTTATTTGCTTTTTCGACTCTTTACGCGCTAGGAACAGTTGGAATGCATGTTTTGTAAGGTCCAACTGAATATCGAATGAACTGATACAAAATCAAGTCCTTATAAGAAGTGATTGCCAGATGTACATCGCACAGGGTGACACAAAATACCATTCACTAAATGTAGAACCTTTTTCTCAATAATAAAAGAATCTTCGTGATTTTTTGTGTAGTAAGTTTAAGTGGTAGAAAGATTTTTGTACTTGTATAGCATCAACAACTCTGAGATTAAGAGGTATCACATTTCCCGTCCAGGTGTGCTCATGGTGAAATTGTCAAAAAAATGTTCAAAAAAACAATTTTCTGAAATTAGGATTTCTGTCTTAACCATTATTTGAGTCATTGCCGGATTGCTCTCATATATATTATTATCAATACCCATTTTCACTCGATGAACTGACTCGCTTACTGGGTTAATGTTAAGAAGATATTTCTTAATTTCCAAGCTGTTGATGCTATGCAAGTATACCAATTTTTCTGATATTAAATACTTTACTCTACTCTACTCATAAAAGATCATGAAAATTGGTTTATTATTGAGAAGTTATTCCAAAATTAGTGGTTGGCATTTTTGTCTCACAAAACGATATGCATATTGATGCCCTGGTCCCATGCGCTCCGATTTTCCATACTGGCGGCCAGCGGATGAGTATTTTGTTCAAAATTGCATTCAGTTTTGAACAAAATACTCATCAGCCTGGCGCCGGTGTTGAAGATGGGAGAAAATCTGGCCACGGCATAATTAAAGAATCGACGAGTATAGAAATAGGGTTATATTGTGATTATGTTTTCACTTGACTATTTTAGGTAGTTCTAGAGTATTTCAAACTAATTTTTGTTTCTCTAGGTCGAGCAAATGATACCTTCAGAGTTCAAGCACTAGCAGAAGGCGCCGACGTCCTTTTTCAGGACTACACAGACAAAGTTAAATACATGAAGAAACTAATGCTCCAAGGACTCAAGATGTACGGCGAGGAACGTTCGAATATAGTCAAGATCACCCAAAGTGAAGTCAACTTGTGTATGGATAAATTTGCCGCTAAAAACAACGAGCCGTTCTATTATGACGACGCTGTTGAAACGATGATTTTGAAAATCCTTGCAGAAGTAGTAAGTCGCCAGCTTTCTTCCAAAATGATTTCTTATTTGATTCATTATAAAAAGTGCATACATTTTACGTCATTTTTGGAAGGGAATGCGTAGAATAAGCTATTATAAATAGATCATAGATAATCTAATAAGGCGACGGGAGTGTTAATATTAATACATTATTATTTCAAACAAAGACAGTAGCATTATGATCCTCTTGTAATAATAATAATTTATATCGTCCTCACTGGCGGATCCAGGGGTCATGCTGCTAGGGTTGTCCCTGAAAAAAATTATGGTCCCAAGACTTTTGTTGGGACTCAAAAATGGGTCTTTTGGCCATAATTTGGGCCTTTTTAGGCCAAATTATCCAAAGAGGGGCTTAATTTTTCAAAAGTTTGGTCCAATATTTGGTTTCAGGGTCTTCAGCGCAAGCACGTACATTTTTCGTGACTTTCCTGTGGACCCCCTCCTTGTTAGCTTCTGGATCCGCCAGTAGTCCTGACCGAACCATAACAATTGGATAATAGTTCTTAGTTTCACGAGAAGGTGAATAAACTAATTGACTGATAAAACAGAAATTTAGTTTTTATATTATTAGATAGCTGGAGTTCAGTTTAAGGACGAGCACCCTTACATCAAACTAATTGCTGAGAGGCAAGCTAAGGCTGGAAGAGTAATGTCAGCAGGCAATGGAGTAGAACTTGACATGTTTCCATGGCTACGCTTTTTCGGAAATCAAAACTATAAAATACTGACGGAGGTGTGTAGAACAAGAAACATTGTTTTGGCGGATATGCGGAAAGAATGTGAGGTAATAATGAAATTGATATTTGATAATTTATTTATTCATTCATTTATTTATTTATTTAGCCTCCAATACTGAAGAATAGTTTGACAATTAAAACAATCTTACACTATACCTTATGCTAATTAGACAATTACAATATCATGAATTATACATGTATACATGAGCAAAATTTAGACCCAAAATAACAATGGATACATTGGTAAATCAGCCAAAAAATCTTCTTTGGTACATAATTGAGACATTCTTACATGAAATAATCAAAATATTATCCCAATTTTTCATTGGAAACCCCATGCCTAAAATAATGTTATATAAAACCTCACATGAAAGTTTCTTAAATGTAAGATTTTCCTTAATCAAATTTTCAATCATAATCTTTCTGATATCAACATAATTATCACAACCCATAATAAAATGATAAAGAATATCCAGGTGCTTAAGGGAAAAGACGAAAAAAGTTAACCAAACACAGTTAAGAAAATGAAACATCTAAGAAATATTTGATTTGTAACATTGTATACCTTACAGTGCTGATCCAGGACACAATTGTATTCTTTACTATACATTTTGATTTTTGCAAACTTCAATTTCTTCAACATTCGATACATTATTTACCATAAATAAAGTTTTTTTATCGTACATACCATCTTTTCCCAAACTTTACGACATGAATTTTTAGAATTTTCACCCTCTTTATAGACAATATAATAAACACGATTATTCATTATTTATTAATTCTTCACCATCCATTACACTATGTACAGTGCATTACATTCTTCACCATCCATTACACTATGTACAGTGCATTACATTCTTCACCATCCATTACACAATGTACATTGCATTACATTCTTCACCATCCATTATAATATGTACAGTGCATTACATGCTTCACCACACATTACTTCTCTACAGTCGGATGAAGTGTAAGTCACTCGTTATTTCTTGTGACTGAAATTCCCTACAAACGAGGACTATTACGCGCGTACATACCGATCAACTGAACATAAAACTACGCGAGAATTTTTTCCTAGCTCACTCCAGTCACCATTTATTTCACCTAACATCACTTAATCTCAAATAATTTCATATAAATGTATTTATTATTCGTGTTTATTGATAAATGCGTGTCCTTTAAAGTGCTTAAGTTAGAGCAAATTGCTCGCGTAGTTTTATCTTCAATTGATCGCCCGTAGTAATGCATTACGTTTTGTTTTAATTTTAAACCCTTTGTTGGTCAATTAGATAAAAACAGTATACTAAGTTATTTTTACCACTCAACATCATCAAAGCTATGTTATAAATCGTGCCACATTATCCCTCCGTTCTCAGAGATCAATGGGCCTCCCAAGGTCGGATCATATATCATTGAAAACTTCTTGCATATATGCCAAGATAGTGACATAACCTCTAATTACAATCTTTACGACATTTTACACTCTTAACCATATATTACATTATTGACCATGCGTTGCGTAATATTCTTTACCACAGTAATTCTGACCTATACTTAACACTCGTATTATAAATAATATTCTCTATATCGAGCATAGTATTCATTACACTGTCATGTATATTTTGTATTTTGCCCCATGTGTATTTTGAGTGTGAAGTAATATTGTGTATGTTCGGAATGCCTTTAACTTTATCCTGTAAAAAATCTTATTTAACATTACTGAGAATTGAAAAAGTCATCAGGACAAAACAGGGGATGAATTATTCCGTCCCGCCTACTAAGTACTTAATTCTAAAATATTGTAGAAATCCATTGAATCCAACCACAGCGTCATGGGAGTATTAATAAAAGCCCAAAGAGACCCCTTGACACCGCACCAAATATCAGATTCTAACATCATGATGGTGTCGGTGAATCTTATTGGTGCGGGATTTACCACGACAAAAGGCACAATCTCTGGGTTATTTCTGCTACTAATGAGACATCCAGATATACAGGCAAAGCTTCAAGAAGAGGTAGACCAAATTGTCGGTAAAGACCGGAATCCGAGTGTTGACGATAAAGAAAACATGCCGTACCTTCAAGCGACGCTTATCGAAGTGTTACGTTATTTGACGCATGTGCCAATTTCGGTACCCCATAAAACTTTGGTAGACACGAGTGTTGCAGGATATGATGTTCCAAAGGGAATACAGGTAATACTCACACACTAACTAAAAGATGAACTGTGTAACCATTTAGATTAAACATAGTTCTCCCTTTGGAATAGAAACCAAGCAATCGTTTTTTAGTTTTAATGATTTCATAGAAATGTATTTCAAATCAAAAGGATTAAGCTTTACCCACAGTTAGTATTTAATAATTTCATGTTCTTATCTTTTCGAATTCGATGGTTTGGACGAACATATTTGCGATGCACCACGATCCCTCATTGTTTCCTGATCCTTGGCAGTTTAAGCCAGAACGTTGGTTGGATGATGATGGTAATCTGGTATCTCTGGAGGAACGAAATAAGTGAGTAATTACCTACCTATTGTATTGTTCTAGATTGTATTGATCCTTTTTTCAAAGTTTATCTGTGACTTTTTGTGCAACAGAATTGACAGTGCAATTGCACTATCTAAATAACACACGTCGACGACTAAGTCATCACTGGAGAGGTTAAGCTACCGTATAAAATCCAAAACGCAACTTAAAGGGTTCCGATTAGCATCCCGTATAAAAACAATATGGCGGCTCCAGGCGAATCAACTGGATCAGTCCATTTTTAAGAAATAAGGGGAGTTCTGTAAAATCCAGTTTATTGAAATTGTCTTTGAGATAAAGTAATCCGTTTATAATGATTTTGAAAACGTTATCCAAAGAGTGATTGCGTTCAAAGAATACAAGTACAACAGCCAATATAAATCCTTGTATTAGAAACCGGTTTGTCTTGCTTTGTTTCATTTGTAGGATATTTCATATGCCAAGCTGTGTGCTATTACGTTATGGGGAAATTTAGATGCCAATTTTTCCTTATTATACACAAATAGAAGATCCTGAAACTTCACCCATAAATGTGGAATTGATTTGTCAAAATAAAAATCACCCTTTTATAAATGTGTGACGATCTATAATATACTTATGCTATATAACAGTTAGAGGTGTTGACACAACGACCTCGAACCTGTGAACCCTTGAGTATTATTCCGGGATCGGGCCTTTTATACTAAACGGTGAGCAACACCAGAAACGAGCGTTCGATTTGCTAAACGATATGCGTCACCCTTTAAACGTATCAATCGGTCCTATACAAATACATGTAGAGTTCACACATAAATAGCCGTTCAGCTCTAGTGTTTGTTTAGACTACACCATAGCTTGTAATGATTACATAGTATCCCATTGATGAAGTTCAATAGCTGGTTTTCTAATACATATTTTAAACGAGCTCGTTTCGTAAGATTATTGGAGTTAAATCATGCGTAACATACATCATCTTCTTCAGAAAGAATTATACTCTGCATCGAAATCAAAATTGCAAGGATAGTATTCAACAGACATGAGTATAATGATTCCCGTTGATAGCAACGTGAAATTTTAAAACCTCCCGTTCTAAACACGCAACATTGAAGTTGAACGGGTATCTGAAGTAGACTAAAGCGATACAATCCTATATTGATTCAATGTACTTTGCGTTTACGTATACGTTTTGAAAAACCGCATTTGCTTAACCTCTCCACTTTCTGTTGAACAAACTTGGAAAAATCATAGTTACCCAACCTCAATATCATAAATATAAATAATAACGTTATTCTATGATTCTTAACATTTGGGATTTTAAGCTTGCAATATTTTACACAACCTAAACGTGAATGGAAAATATTAAAGTGATGCATATGTATGGGCGATCCGTCGTACCTTAGTTTGTTTTTTGATTTTATATGCAAGCTTAGATTCCCTGATATACAGAAATGACAAGAACGTAAAAGTTTGTACATGTTTGTACTCGAATCATTGAATGAGAAGAATTTTATTCATATTTATTTTAGAGCTATCTCATTTGGAGCTGGTCGACGTGTTTGTGTCGGGGAACAGTTTGCAAGAACCAGATTATTCCTGTTCTGTGCTACATTGTTGCAGAAATTTACGATCAGTCCACCAGATGGCTCTCAAAGTCCGTCACCTGATCCACGTGACTTTCCTCTTGGAATTGTACTCCACCCTGTGCCATTTCAAATCAAGGCAATAGCGAGACAATAAAACAAAGCGTGGGATCTAAGTATATGGAGATACTACATCCTTGACACAGACGATATTTCAGGGCCTCTCTAGTTTTGGACGATATACTCAAAACTCTCAATTTTTTAAACCCCACTTAAGTTAGACGTTTTTCTATGAAAACGTTAAAAACAGTGATATTTCGCCTCTAAGCATGTAACACCATTACTAGAACATATCGTTCCAGAAGTTGTATGTTTTTAATACGACGTATTTGTTTTTTTGGCACTTGTATATCACTTTGACCTGGAAATTCACGAGATAACGTTAATGTAAGCAGAATTTATTACAGCATATATGAGTCTGTTAAAAGGGGTTACTATAACCTTTTCACGAACCTAGTCACTGCATTGTGGAGATGTAGAATTTACGAATAAAAGCTAAAATGTTAACCTACATTCTTCTGGGGTGTTTTGCTTTTTTAGTGTGTTTGTTTATCAAAAACATATAGTACAAATGAGAAATCAAGAATTATCGCAAAGATCCGGGACCTAAAGGGATACCAATATTTGGAAATGCTCTTCAAGTTAATTTTGAACATGTTCACAAAGATTTACTGAAATGGACTGGGGAGTATGGACCAATCTTCAAATTGAACTTTGCAGGGGGCTTGGTTGTTGTACTCAACAGTTATGATGCCATCTACGAAGCTCTTGTCACAAAATCAGCAGATTTTGCAGGTCAGATCTAAAGTTACATCATCGTGAAATCAATGGTTCAAAATCCGTATCTGAGTTTTGTATGAAATAAAACCAGACCATATAATATTATTTAGCCAACAAATTATGACATTTCGGAATATAGAAAAAATATTTTATAACATAATTAAACCCATCAACATCAGAAATTTGAACAATACATACTAAAAACATATTATTACTAAAGTAACGGCACATCGGGCCAATCGTTCTATTTTGTATTGACCATTTTTCAAACGCGACTTTTTAAGCTACAGAGAATTGACAGTACACTGACGCCATCCAAATTACACACGTTGACGACTATTAAAGTCATCACTTTCTGTTGCATAAACATGTTAAAAACACAGTAACACATCAACCCAATATATGTAAACAATAACGTTATTCTCTGATCAATTCTTAAACTAGATATAGTACTCTGTGGCTAGTCGATCTATGTGGATGCAGTCAGGCACATGTAATGTTTCGTGAGTTCCCGCCTCTGTACTTTTCAATGGAAGAATTTTGCACTTCTGTTTAAATAATCTATATTTACTCATCCGTGTATATCATACTTCATTGATTTAGAAAACCAAAGCTACGCTATAAACACACATTCTCTGATATTTTTACGGAGAATAGATAACTCAAACGAGTTCACTCGAACAGTTTTATCATCTCGCTCATAGCTGTGAGAAGGTATGTATAATTTGCCATAGGTTTACCTTGTAATGGGGAATACAAAAATCAAGTGATATAATTATTTCACATACACAAATATGTCTGTGTGAAGTAAAATACAAATACAATGCGTTCTATAATATTTTTGGGGTTATGGTATGAAATATCCGCTTTAAAAAGGCAATTTAATTATGATGTATCGTGTGGATTAGTAGCCGTTCTGATTGGATTCATTGAACAGACTGGCTAGGTTTCAATTGAATCATTTTGAATGTGTGTATTTTTAATATTTTAATCCACAGTGTCCAAAAACAATAATAATGCTATATTGGTAATTGGAAAGATTCCACTTACCACGATTTCAAAAAATTGTAAATAGATAATATTATTCTTCAATTATGGTCATTTGTTTCAAGGAATCTGGAGGCTCGTTCAGCTGAGCTGACAAAATCATCAAGAATTACGGATGGTCCATCTGTTGGCTGCTCATTGTCACTTTCAAGGAATGTTAATGGCTCTGAAACTTGTAGCCTTGCCCAAGTCGGTATTTATTTACTTATCTGATCTTGAATTATTACCACCTTGTACAATCCAATGTATCATCGCTGATATTATGCTAAGTTATTCAGCGGTTCCAAGATTCCCATAATACCTAGGCTACCTAAGGGTATCGCAAAACCATATTGATTGACAATATGGACATGGACACAACGTGTGACTTCAGGCTGATTGACCAATCAAAACGTTATCAGGTTGACCTGCATAAAAAAAGCAAACTACCCGTCTAGGACTTGAAATTCAATGATTTGATCGAGTGTTTCTTGAGAGTTACAATATATTATGTTATTAAATGTACATTGGAATGTAAGCAGTCATTAATACTCGTCTAAATGAAATCATGCAATTCAATGTTGATTCAAAATCAAAACTGAATTTGCGATGGAAATGCACGAAGACCTAGTCCGGTATGATTTGTCAAATTTTACCGACAAAAACATTGGGTCGGTAAAGCACGTGGCTCTCTCTTGGGTACAAGGCGGTCATAATAGAAATCAAGATAAGTAAAAGAGACCGACTTGGGCAAGGTTATGAAACTTGATTTGTGGGTATTCTAGTGGGTCGATGGGTCTTTTGCTCTGAATTCACTTCATTGGCGTACCTAATTTCAACATTTTCATTGTCATCATTACATGTTATGGACCCGTTTTTCAAATTAACAGTATTAGCGATAAAACCATAGTTTTTGGCTCACACAGTGAGCCTATGGGATCGACCAGGCGTCCGTCCGTTGGTCCGGACGGTTGGTCCGTCCGTTTGTCCGTCCGTCCATTGGTCCGTCCGTCTGTCAACATTGGCTGCAAAAATTAAAACTGCTATTCGGATTGAGTCATTTTCACATTCATTTTATGCATATCCATAATGTCTATTTGACCTATCATCGCCATTTCCCAAGTTCGCCCGGTTTCCGAGAAATTGCTGATTTTTAAATTTCGAGAAAAATCGATCTGATGATAGCCTTATAGAAAGTCAAGAGAAGTGAAGAAAATATTGAAAAATTACCAGTCCAGTCCATTTCCAGGTCCAAGTCCAGGTCCAGGTCCAAGTCAAGGTCCAGTTTAGGTCCAAGTTCAGATCTAGGTCTAATAAGGTTTAATCTAGGTCAAAGGTCAAGAACTAGGTCAAATCCAGTACTTTGTCATTTTTTTCAATTTTCTCAGTCGTCCTTCAATATTTTTGCTCCGTTTTTTAAATCATGTTCCTTGGAAAAAAGCTAATCCCTACAGGCAAGTTATTTTTGATCACTCTTACCGTTTTTGAGATATGGCATCCGAAAAGTAGGTCACAATAAAAAGTTCTTGGAATTCAATGTATAAGTTATGAAATATGTGTAGAATTGTCCAAGAAATCCGAATCTGCAAACCAGATTTTGATCCGACTTCCGGTTCGGAAGATATGGTATTTTGAAATCTCAAAAATTGCTATTTTGGTATCCCATGTTAAGTCAATGGGGCTTGAGAAAATTATCAATTGTAACAACACAACACTAGATACAGCTTGGATGCAGCCAACTTAATAAGAATCTACAATAGAAGCCATCCTCAAAATCTACTTTCCTTCAAAATTTGGACACTAAAAGGCCTAGGTCAAAATCTAGGTCAAATTCATAGTTTTTCCTTTGACTACAACAAATCATATCTGAACCAACAACAAAGGACTCATCTTTTATTGATCTCATATTTACCAATACTTTTGTTTGAAAATCAGGATATACATTCCTCTGAAGGTTCTACACTGTGTGAGCACAGGACCGTGGGTCCTTTATTTCATCTGTAATGGCATTTTCCAGTTGATGGGTTTATATATAGTATATTCAATTTTTCATGAGGGTGTCTTTAGACTACTTGTAATGGGGTGGCTAATTACTTTACTGAATGAGGAATGTTTATCCAAACAATGGATACAAAGAAAATCTGGCCAGTTGTCCATCAGTAAAAAAATCATCATGATAAAAGTATAATATATTAAAGCATCCATTTGTTACCGTTCTGAATCCAAATGATACATAGGTGCATCCATTTTATACGTATATGTTGACGTTTACGAAATGTTTTTCAAATATCTTCCCTATAACAGAAATATGGTAGCTGAAACTTTCACACATTGTCATACTATGTATATTGAATATGTATGCAAGATTTCAAGTCACAATGTTAAGTAGAAACTCTGAAATCATGTACCTCGATTTGCTGTCATATTTTTGCAATGATCCCATTTCCTATAATGTACGCGTGTACCCACGATACATTACATATAAATGACTGCATCCACATAGATCGACTAGCCACAGTGTAGTATACAGAAATACCGATAAGGTAAAAGTTTCTTATTTAGAAACTCAAATCATTGAATGAGTAACAAATTGTATCCATATTTATTTTAGAGCTATTTCATTTGGAGCTGGCCGACGTGTTTGTGTCGGGGAACAATTTGCAAGAACCAGATTATTCCTGTTCTGTGCTACATTGTTGCAGAAAGTCACGATCAGTCCACCAGATGGCTCTCAAAGTCCGTCACCTGATCCACGTGACTTTCCTCTCGGAATTGTACTCCATCCTGTGCCATTCCGAATCAAGGCAATAGCGAGACAAAAAACAAATCGTGAGGTCTAAGTAATGGATATAAGTGGTTCACATGGAAATTTAAAACATCCTTGGTGTATTTTTGTATCAAAATTCGATACTATAAGTTATTCAACGATTCGAGTGAAATACAGAAAATATTCTTCCCGAGAAGGTTGTATTTCACGATGCGCTAGCAGAGTGAAATACAGACGTTCAGGGGAAGAATATTTTCTGTATTTCACGAGAAATCATTGAATAACGTTTTTATTCCATGATTACCCATATAAAACTCGCCTAAATCAAGTCCATTGGCTTGGGGTCGGAGAAACAGATCAACCTTCTCACCTCAGAGATATTTTACATCGATATTCCTTCAAAATCTTTATGGCCTAGTTGTTTGCTTTTTATTGTATTATACGAGACGTTTGATTTTCTTTCTTTTTTCTTATTTCATCAGCTGGAAGTGCAGTGAAGCGAAACGTTTTTTCGACTTTCGTCTGCCATATTGGATTTTAATTAGTTCATGAAAACAATGTGTATGTTTTAAATTGATTTCTTATATTTACAAAATTGCGCTTTTTATCCTAAAATTATTGATTGTGGTGATCACAGTATACGTTTCTGATATTTGAATCAGATATTTATGGCAAAATTCAAAGATAAGCCTGCGTTGGTGTAAGGTAATCGCCATTGATTTTTTTAGTAACAGTCATATCCTGAATGGAAATCTGGGGCGTTGGGATACTGAGCCGTATCCCAACGGTGACGTCATTTTCACTCTGTATCCCACGTTAAAGCAAACTGAATTAGTTTGTTTTCTTTCAACATGGTTATATTAGCATTGTAGGCATTATCCCGATCACAATGGTATATAACAATGCTATATTTGAGAAAATGCACGGGGGAAGATTCAATCCTTAAAGACACAGGTCCTTTTAGCAAAATTCAGTAAATTTGATTTTGAGATTTCTTGAAATTTCTTTGGGGTAGGGGTGCACCTTACAGTTTGCATCACAGATTGAGTACACCCAACTGAGGGGAACATGGCCATATGGGGTATCATTGGAAAGCGATTTCTACTATCTTTCGAGTGATATCCATGTCAAGGCGTTCAATAGCATATTATGACGTCATAACGTTAGGGAGAAACAAAGGTTCATTCAAAACTGCCCAGAAGACAATTGAATGGCACGGGAGAATGGAATTCGGGGTACTTGGCACAATGGCCTCGCCCCCAAAACACTAAAGTTGCTTCAAAATGTCACGATTTTGGTACCATTGTTCAGCTAAGATACAGTCCTTTAATATAATATGCGCTATTAGGCTTCTTAATGAACTTAAAAACCTCAAAAGGGGACAAAACCTACAAAATACCCCAAAAATGCGCCTTCTAATAGGTTGAAGACCACAGTAGAGTTTCCCATAGGTGGCCATTATAACATTTTACCCTGTATCTTATTAACGATTAGTATCCAAGCCTAGTGCAACATACCACAGTGTTCGGGAGAGACTCGCCTAGACTGCTATAACAATCTTACCATGGGTTGTCCACCGAATTTTTGAGATAAATAAACTTGAAGACACTAACCCCCTCTATCGTCAGATTTCTCAGAGAATTCTGGTAAAATCACCAAGGTCAAAATCACTCCGCCGCCAGCTTAAAATGAGATTTCCCACTGAACTTTGGCATGTTTTCAGATAAATCAGGACCTACCTTATAAATATTTAGTCCCAATTCACTTCCCAAACGCCAAATGGCGCTCCAATGGGGTAGGAAAGGAGAAAAATGACTTTTTATACAGAAAACCAAATCACTAACGGTAACCGCTAGTGTCCTTACTCAGGACTATATCCTAAGTGGAAAGTGCGTGTAAATACAATACATATTTAAGTCACATGGACCAATCAGGTTCCAGGGAATTTCTCCATCGTGGAATAAAATATCATATGCGAAATCTCTTGAAAGCCCATGGCTTAAATCGCATGAATATTTTCAAAAAATCACAAAAATGCCAAAAATTTTAAATCAAATACATGCACTAAATCGAAAAAAATAGAAATATTAAATCGAATTTTGAATCAAACATATGCTGTATGTGCATCGCATATATACTTTCGATTTGCAAACTTTTACATACGATACGGAATTGTTAATATTCGCATGCGCTGATGTATTCTTGCTCCTTGCGCCAAAATTCAGAGTTCCTGTTCCATTTGATTTGCGTTAATCATGGTTTTACGCGTCTCCATAAAGACCAATCAAACAACTACCGGTGTGAAAGAAATTATGGTCCCCCAGGGATTATGGTCCCCCTTCTGAACGGCCCTTACTGGCTCTAATTGTGTAAAATAAGAGAAAGAGGTCACCATATAATTCAATGGAGAGTAGGGCCATAAATTGATAGGACCTCCTACCCTTTTACACCGGCAAGGTAAGTTAAAAGATCTACGTAAATAATCGTGAACAGATACGCCGTCATTGTGAAATATACGTATGCCCAGATGCATGTAGCTACAGCCAATCAAAATCGATAGAAAGTTTCCAAATAAGAATGGATAAGAATGAGTATGGATCGAATATAAATACTGATATCAAACATAAATTGAGTTTATTAATAAGTTTTTCGATTTTGCATCCATAAAATATGTGCAATATCGCATAATTTTGATGAAAAAACAAACGGTATCTCACATAAAGGAAAAAATCGAATTTTGATACAAAACCAGGTATATCCAGATCTCGGGTAAAGTCAAAAATATAAAAAATCAAAAATATAAAAAAAGTGAATTTAACCCTAATCATAAGACCATGAATTTGTCTGTAGAAAAATGAATTCCATAAATACGATGTGTGTAAAAAAAGGAATTCTATAAACACAATAGAATTGTGTGTCAAAAAATGAATTTGACCCTAACCTACCCGCTGAGGATACAGGACACGTACCATACCCAACTTGGCAAGAGCGGTGTTCGTGTACCAAAGGGGTCTGGTACTCGATCGCCGGTCCTGCCAAGTGGACCCTGCATTATTAGGGTCTGGTACGCGATCGCCGCTCCTGCCAAGTGGACCCTGCATCATTAGGGTCTGGTACTCGATCGCCGCTCCTTCCAAGTGGACCCCGCATCATTAGGGTCTGGTACTCGATCGCCGCTCCTGCCAAGTGGACCCCGCATCATTAGGGTCTGGAACTCGATCGCCGCTCCTGCCAAGTGGACCCTGCATCATTAGGGTCTGGTACGCGATCGCCGCTCCTGCCAAGTGGACCCTGCATCATTAGGGTCTGGTACGCGATCGCCGCTCCTGCCAAGTGGACCCTGCATCATTAGGTTCTGGTACTCGATCGCCGCTCCTGCAAAGTGGACCCCGCATCATTAGGGTCTGGTACTCGATCGCCGCTCCTGCCAAGTGGACCCTGCATCATTAGGGTCTGGTACTCGTCCTGTCTTCAGCGGGTAAGTCAGGGTAAGGTAATCTGGTTTAATAGGGTTATGGTTAGGGTTAAGGTTAGGGTTAAACTTTTTTTTGATTTTTTACACACATATTCATGTATGGTCTTAGGGTTAAGGTTAAATTCTTTCTTGACACACAAGTTTATTGTATTTATGGAATTCATTTTTTAATTTTTTGACACACATATTCATGGTCATTTTTGGATGTTTTGACACAGTTTCATGGTCTTAATGGTATTCGTGTTTGGATTGTTTTGATATATTTGACACAAACGATATTTCTAAGACCCTCTTCAGTTTTGGACGATATACTCAAAACAATAAATCATTCTTACAAAGTAGCTCGCAAATTTATCAATTATTTTATGAAAAGTCAAGATAGCCATAATTACTAGACAAGAACACGGGAAAACATTCATCGAATAAAATCACACAACAAAAAAGAATAAAAGTCGAGGGAGTAAAACTTGGGATGAATTACTCATTGATTTAAAACAAATAGAAGAATAAAAAAGTTTAAAACAGTTTAGGTTATACCTTATTCAGAACTACCAATTTTTACTCGTCAGTAATGATATATAATCTTAAAATTTAGATTCCCATAATGCATACTGTACTTTGAAATGGCTCGCTTTGTCTTTCTCTATTCTGTTACCAATCAATTAAAAATATTGTGTAATTTGGTAAACAAATGGAGTCAAACAAAGGTTGTTACATTAATCTCTGTACGTCTTGCCCTTTTTCAGGACGACCTTGTGTGCTGGGACATTATCCCAGAGAAGACTGTTCTGGGTTTCATATTGATAAGGTTGATCAAGTGGAGTAGAGTTCTATGTATCTTGCAAAATTTAGTTTGCACCTGGTGACGTCATATAAAATGACCCAATCAAATAGCAGGCAGTGTTCTTGGGAAATTGACTCAATAATGTTGTGGGCACATATGTACCAACAAGTTTCAAGAAAATTAGTTCATTCGTACAGAAATGGCCATATCTTTGGCGTTATTCCTGGATCACCCTGTATGTAATGCTGCGTCTGCGGGAAAAGGGCAACAAATTCAAACGCCCTGAACGCAGGCGGTGACGTCACACAAATATTGGTGGACTGGAATGCACACATTGGATAATTTGCTTATGCAGAACTTGCATTCACCATGTTGTGTCTTCTGGATATCTTTCTACGAAGTAACATTATCATTTCCCATATCAGTTCAAGGAATTCTCCTAATGTACATATAGAGAGACCAACGAACATACCCATGGTGCCACCAATGTTACTTAAAAGGCTGATCACCTGGAAGAGGAAGAAAATACTCGGTAACTCAAAGTCAACAAACTAGTTCTCGATCTCAAAACGTCCTAAAATAATCGAGGCTTTATGTGTCACCCTGTAGAAATCTTAAGATCTAGAAATTGAATCAAAATGCTTACAGAATATGCCGGCACCTCTTTAATTGTTTCCACATTGAAATCTTCAAAGTAGATATGCACCCTTAGGATGTTGTCTCTGTAAATAGGAAAACTATAGTTAAAGAAATAAAAATTGATAGAGAGTGAAATGTTTTTAAAGATAACACCAATATGTTTTCTTGCAGTCCTAATTTTATAATTTATTTTTTGAAAATATACAAGACATATTTGATCAAATAATGTTATTAGCGATATAAGGTACAGAAATGGCTAAATTCATTAGAATTGAAAATGTATGTTATGCGGTAAACACGATACCAATATAGCCTGTTGCATATTCCGCGGGTGGTATCGGATAATCACTGAAATCAATGTATCACATATTCACTGCGGAATATACCATACTAACCTGTGGAATATCCCATATACTACAGGTGAGGATGACATATTCATCCGCATCACAAATACCGCGTGATCATGAAATCATGAATATATGCCATATTCCGCGTAAGACACCCTTTTTAATTTTTAAAGGAACAAAATGCGTAAATCAAGTCTCACTTTTGATCTTCATAGTATTCCCAATGGATTAATAAGTATCTGATCTTTCAAAATCAGCTCAAACAGACCACAACAGAGTTGACACGAGATCATGAAAAATATTTTCGATCTATCAATTTATATATGTCAAGTTTTTAGCAATGCCATTGAGAGATGGCATTGTTGTTTGCATAAATTATCCATTCATTTTTGATAGGATTTTCAACCATACGCCATCTTTTAATCAAAGAGTTATTTAAAAACATACACTTTATGTGAACTTCAAATGCTGTTTTCTATGCGAGTAATTTTTTTTTCACTTCAGTATTGACCCAAATTAAAGTTTTTTCATATTGATAGAGTGTGTGAGTAACATGTCTCAAATAATATTTTGTCCTTTTTTCAAAAATAGGCGCATTTTGCCTGTTTAAAATACAACCACTGTATCAATGTCTGATTGAATACGGATGGTTTACATCATATAACGTGGCTGATAATGCTAATACCCAGCCACAAGCACATGTGCACTTGTTATAAAGTATTCTTTGTATAAATGAATAAATAAATAAATAAAAATAATAATAAAATTACCCTGAAATAAACACAGAAATGTTTGATTTTTAAGAAAAAAAACATGACATACTGCTCCATTTTGTACTTACTCGATTTCTTCTAGTGTCTGAATACCCCTTTCCTTTAGTCGATTCAGCAAATAATAATCATGGTGTTTGCTCGGCCAAGTAGACACGGTCGTTGAGATATCATACTTATTCTCTCTGAAATCAAAAATGTTCATATACAAGACAAGGAGGATTGGCTACCAGAATGCAATCTCAATATTTTCCAATAATGTATCCGATCTTGAAGGATGTCGTGATTTTCACTTCAAATCATGAATCGTGAGTTTTGGGTCTTGTTGCATCACATAATTCAAACAAGAATACAAATGTGTCACAAAATGTCCCCACCAATGGGTGATCCCGGCAAATGGTTATCCTGAAAATGAGCAGACAAGACTTAACCGACACAATTTGAGGACGGAAAATCCAAAATAGCTGCCTTAAAATGTATCCAGAATGCCCAAAAATAAGTTTTCAAACTAAGAACCAGCCCTGAAAATTTGAAATTGAACTACCAAACGGTTCACCTGAAACGCGTAGACAAGACTTTCCAGACAAGATTTTAGGACGGAAAATCCAAAATGGATGCCTTGACATTAGCCCAGAATGCCAAAAAACTATTAAAATATAGATTTTTATACTGAGAATCATCCCTGAAAATTCGAAATTGATCTACCAAACGGTTCACCTAAAAACGCGTAGACAAGACTTTACAGGCAAGATAATCCAAAATGGCTGCCTTGACATTTATCCAAAAGGCCAAAAAACTAATTGGATCTAGATTTTCATACTACGAATCATCCCTGAAAATTTGAAATTGATGTACTAAACGGTTCACCTGGAAATGCGTAGACAAGACTTTACAGACAAGATTTTAGGACGGAAAATCCAAAATGGCTGCCTTGACATTTACCCAGAATGCCAAAAAACTAATCAGATCTAGATTTTCGTACTAAGAATCATCCCTGAAACTTTGAAATTGATCTACCAAAATGGTTCACCTGAAAACGCGTAGACAAGACTTTACAGACAAGATTTTAGGACGGAAAAATCCAAAATGGCCGACAATAAAAAAGTGATTATGAGTTTTTGCTGATTTCCTTTTACAAAATTATCACATATAACTACTGTTAACAGTAACATAGGCTTTTACTACAAAGTACACCTGAAATTATTTATATAGCTACTAAATAGTTAGAGTATGGAAACTCAAAAACACCATTCAATATGATACAAAGTATTATCGCGCGCTAACTTTTCTTTCGACATTCAAAATGGCTGACATGACTGAGATAACAGGTCCAAAACCTAATCAGATGTAGAATGAAGTGAGCTGAACAAGATATTAGACTTTAAAAAGCAACTGTGAAGCCGTTTTTCTTAAAGTTTGCAGACAAGGATTTTAGCATTCGACTTCAAAATGGCCGACAGGAAGTAGGTATCGAGTTATATTGGATTGGAATGTGAGAAGATCTAAACTAGTGTAGCATACCTGCATCTTGCCCGACATTTACAGCCAAGTTTCCCACTATTGTAAGCGTAGTATACTCTCTGACGGCATAACTCTATAATTAAAATCATCACTAAAACTTAATTAAGTAATCACTAATGAATAAACACAAGGAGCACACGCGTCTCGAACTCGCAACATCGTGGCTACGGCACCTACTCGCCTAGTTTGAACATTCAATCGATTAACTGCAGTATTTTGAATATGAAATACATATTGCTAATTCCAAAACCTATGGATTTTACCTTCAGTTCTATTGAAATAGCTACACCTGTGCTCGTCTTTCTCCACTATTCTGTCCAAGCATTTGCATCTTTTAACGAGCCTCTCCTCTAAACATTCCCGCATACAGCCCTGGAAAAGTTACATAATTACAAATCTTACAAGTTTATATTAGTGACATATTGTTCAATGTTCGGCGGTTTGTGTTTGGCATTCGGTGTCCGGTGGTGACATATTGCATTGTTCTAAATTGGGCTGCTACTGCTTTCACTTCATTGGGCTAATACATATTTTGGCTGTGCTATATTTTAGTACGAGGGTTGTCCATAAACCTTTAAAATATACATTTGAAATCAGAATCGTGTGACCTGACTTCTCATCCTACGGATTTATGACATTATAGGTAGACACTTCCTTTACAAATATTGTTTGAATAACAACGTGTGTAAAATGAAACCGTAGTTCATTCTACTATACCTAACCCCTAGAAATGCATAAGATACTCTGTTTGTCTAATTGTATTGTTTAGTATATTTTTGAAAGTGCCTTTAGTAACATCTAACATTCAACTGATAAACCATTAATAAGGAACAGACAAATATAAACAAATACATAATCATTACTAAAACGCCAAAAGGGTTGCTCATGAACACCAAATGCAATGTATAGTAGAGTGTAGTTATATCGGACATACTGAATTGAAAAAAACATGCATGGCCACAGAAAAATACATTTCTGGTTATGATACGTGTAGCATATTCACTGGGGATGAACTGGAAACGAGGGAGGTTTTGCCTCGTATCAAAATGGCGGCGCGTGAAAAAATTTCATTCGGTAAGATTTTTGTTTTTTACAATTTTCGTGCTTTTATCCTTCAAATTAAAACTTAATATTTGGCAAGTAAATAGTTCATAAGTTCCGGTTTTATAATATGATTACAAATTAGAAATCAATACTGGCATTGCTGAGATATTTACATATCAATTCTCTCACTTAGGAAACGAGGCATGTTTCTCAAGGAAACGAGGCAGCTATATAGCATTCTTAAGAATGAAACGAGGCAACCATATTTAATTAAAAATGTTTTGTTTTTATTACAATACGGGGCCTACAAAAAGAAGCGTCCCTGTTCAAATGACATTTCTGTAACACAGGAAACGACAACATTGCTGATATTGTATTCCATATGATGCAACAGCATGATGGTAATCTCTCTGTACGGAAACGAACGTTAGATGAGAAAACAGGTTCATTTGTATACACGTCTCATCATTTTGGCGTATTTCATTAAAGAATACAAACAGTAAAATCCAATGTACACCAATGAGACAATGCCAGTGTGCTCCTTGACTTTGCTATTTTTGTAATATAGGCGAGTCATTTAATTATTACCATGGTCATTCGTTTTTTATCGTATCTGGAATTATATTCTATCAAATATAGCCATCTCGAGCAACAACAATGCCCCATTTGCGTACGATTAGTAGGGAGGTTTAACGACACATGTTTTAAAGAGAAGTGTACGTAAACGTGTAAAATTGCAATCTTCAGAGAACTAGTTCTTGTCTTCAACGTCTTATGAATGATTACAATTGGGTCTTTGTACAAGTCAATCCAGAACGGAACTATAGATCCCAGGGGTCATTTCACGTTTACGTTCGCCATTTCTAAAATACGTGTAGCTTAAGCTCCCTATTAAAATAGCACTTCTTTGAACGAGATTTTTCTTATTTGAGAGAACATTTTGACGATATATGCGCTACCATTGATAGCTCGGATAGCTGGCTCGTTTATTGGAATTGACACTCAAAGCAATGCTATTTAACGTTTTCGAAATATTTAAAAAATAAAACAGTATAACTCCTTAGCATAAATTTTAAGCTGCAGCAAAGAATGAATCGAGTGAAGTGCTTTGCTTGCATTCGACGCTCGCCAGAACACCCCCCCCCCCCCCCGCTACCCAATCAAAAGCTGGCTACACAACCCTGTAATACGCATGGCCCACATTTGAATTCAACCACGGAAATTAAGCTTAGATTAGATCAATATTCCTATATAAAATAGACACTCACTTGGTTTATTTCTTGTTTTATATCCAAAGAACATGTGTAAGTTTCTATAGATATATTATATATAACATATTTTTGGCATGGGGAGACGGCTATCTATCGATAAAAGGGTTGCGTAATTGTATACAAAAGAAACGATTACGTAACCATTGTATAATATTACGCAATAATATTACGCAATGAAAGCGCAAAATCCTGATAATGCAAACTTATATAATCGAAATCTTTGGGACAAGACTGAAGAACATGTTGTCTTGCTCTGAAAGATAAATGACCAGTGTAGCGCTTTATGAACAATATGGTTATTCTTTTTAACTCTTACATATATAATCATGTATATCGTGTAAAACGTAATCGGTCGTATGTGACCAGAACGGTGGAAATAAGATCATTAAATGTAGACACTATCACAGAAAGAATAGTTGCCTCGTTGCAAGTCAAACATTGCCTCGTTTCATTGTTACAAAATGTAGACAGGTGCCTCGTTTCCTAAGTGAGAGAATTGAAATGTAAATATCTCAGCAATGTCTGTATTGATTTCTAATTTGCAATCATATTATAAAACCGGAACTTATAAACTATTTACTTGCCAAATATCAAGTTTGAATTTGAAGGATAAAAGCACGAAAATTGTAAAAAACAAAAATCTTACCGAATGAAATTTTTTCACCCGCCGCCATTTTGATACGAGGCAAAACCTCCCTCGTTTCCAGTTCATCCCCAGTGATATTGTTTGACAAGAATTTTGCACACAATTGTACAAATAATGTAAAAGGGGGATAACTTACAATCACAGTATATCCTCCGAATTGTTTCACAAGATCATCATCTTTTACACAATCTGAGGGGTATGGTTCAGTTTCACGTTCGTATTTTTTCTGCAAAATGAGGTCACGTATTGAAGAAAGTACTGCTTATAAAAAGCGTAAAAGTGAAAAAGCAATTGCAATCCGGAGTATTTGAATTCAATTTGATTTACCATGCAAACCTGAAATTAACTTTTACACCTGCTCTCATATATTGAACGAATGAAATACCTGTACATTACAATAATCCATATCACGCAAATGGTGATCAACAAGAAATGGGCGCTCTTCACTTATTTTTGATCAACCCTCGTATAAACTGAAACGTAATTAAAAACTGTTTGATTGGCGTCACTTACTAAGCGCAAACGTATGACCATCTCGTTTCCAACAGAGGCAGTTATGCCATCGTTCTCGGGGTACGAGATGATAGAGCTATCGTGAATAGCTACCCTGGTGCCATACGTGGGGGAAAACAATCCAGTGTACTCGTCTCGCTCAACGTTAAGCGTCAGTCTAAGACCTGAAATGCATATTTATACGAACAACGTTTCATTAAAAATACATGTTTATAAAAGTTTGACAAACTAATCGGAGCTCATATTAAATGAAACGCGTCTCTTGATCAGATGATTAATATCATTTTGCGAGCAATGTTGCTTATCCTATGCGGGCTCCTGTGCAGTGAAAGGTACAAGTAGTCTAAAGGTTCATTTGGAAGGTCTATATTCCATACAAGCAAAGGTGAATGCGAAACGAGCATCGTATTAATAATGTTATGACTGTCAAATACCATAACGGGATCCAAAATTGGTTGTTACAAGGGGTCTTTCTCCCCTCGGTTTGTTAATCACACTATTCCAGGTGTAGCATTTGCCATAGTACTTGTTGTAAGTTTCCAACCAATGATCACTGCTCCTTTGAACAAAAGAACACACGGAATGAGTACATATGATCTACAGATTATATTTATCATACGGCGAATTAATCAATCAAATTGAATCAATAAAGGCACCGGCGGAGCCGGGGGGTCCAGCACCCACCCCCCCCCCCCCCCCCCCCTGGGTGCCAGAAAAATGTTTGGGCCCAAAAATTGTTTAGGGGTAATTCATCAAGAAAATTGCCCTTAACTTTTCAAAATTTGGGTCCAAATTTGGGCCCAAAATTTTTTTCGCGGAATTTGTTTTTCAGATTTCAGTTATGGGCTTGTTGCTTCTCAGATCCACCCCTGAAAAGAGTTTCTATATAGCTTTGAAATCTCGCTAATTCTCGTTTTTCTTGTGGTTTTAAGAGATTTCACTAAAAGTAGATGTCGTTGCTTAAAATCTTATACGCTACTACAATTCTAATATTGGGTAGCTGAATTTTGAGTTTGTTGAAAACTCGACCTCTTATTCAGAGAGTAGATGAGGGTCTCCTTTAAAGCCGCATTCATTAATCAACGTGGATAGGTGATCGCATTATAGTAATTGCACAGGGTGATCAAGCTTTTTTGGCTCACCGCGTATTTATTTGCGCGGCATTGCTGTCGTAAAAACTGGATGAAATAACGGTGTTAAATGATTGCCATTCTGGTAATTCTAGTAATTCATTAAATATTCATTAATGTCTGTTTAGGGAATAGTATGGCTCTATAAAAGTAAATTAGAAAACAGTTAGCATATGTTTCCTAAACAATTGATTCATTGTTACCATAAAAGGATTTATTATAAAGTTTGCACCAAAAAACATGACCTGTGAGTGAAACGTGGTGCGCCGGGTATATATGGATCTTATATTTTATACTCCAGTTTCGTTCTACTATGTCGACAAATAAACGATTTTTGCATTGCATAACTTTATTTTGTTATAATTATCTATTTACTTTTCCCAGAACTTTATTTTTGCGTTGGATCTCATAACAATTGACACCATAATTATCTCTCCCGCGTACCTCTTTTGTTTCGTACTGGTTCCATCATCCTTTATCTGAACTATTATACATAGATGTAAGAGGAGGAAAAAACCCAGAGCCTAGAGACGACAGATATAATTACGTCTCTTGCTTACCACGTTTGTTTGAATTTTCACCGGCTCGTTAGTATTTCCTTACATTTTTCTTTATTTTGATGTGAAATAACAATACAAGCTATAATATTGATTAACACGGCAGAAATCGAAGCGTATTTAGAAAATTTTGAAACCCCCATTAAATGACGTCATTTGTCTGTCGATTTAACCTGAGACTAACATAAAAATTATGTTAGCCTCAGATTTAACCAATCAGCGACGATGACTTCTCAATACAGATTTACATTAGAGACACATGTCTTCTCTAACCCTGGGGTTTCCCTCCCTATTCATGAATGTGATCTTTTACGCCAGAAACAAAAATTCAAAACATATTCATTTTGTTTCTTTCACATTTTTAGGAAATATCAGGGGGCTCGAGCCCACCCAGGCCAGTGGCCTGAGAGGGAGGTCAATTTCCCTCTCTTTGTATGCAGTCCGAATCCAATTATAAAAGTGCATAGTGATCAGGTGATATGTCGTATGAAAACATATTTGTTCAAATAACAATTAAAAGCTATCAATAATTATCAAATCAAATTTTATGACATTAGAAATTAATCTGATCAAATCATAAATATTTCACATGGTATCTCAAAATAAAAGACAATATAGAAAATTCAGGGCATTAGTCACAAAAGGGGATGTGTTGAGGCTACTTCAGGTCAAATAGTGAAAAGATGCTATGCATTATTAATTGCACGTCAATATTTATTTTGGCAAATAACATTAGCTGCCATTTTCTCTTACTATTACACTGCCTGAAAACGTAACATTATTTATGTTTCTCATTATAAAGACATCAGGTTCATCCTCACCAAAAATATCTTTCTATGCGTTTCTTTTATTAGTTTTGATTGTTATTCCATACATGTAATACTATGTAAGCGAGTCAAGAAAAGACAATTTAGAAACTAACCTGTTACAGTTCTCTCCATCAAATGTACAGAGAGCCACCAAGTCTGATAAATTGTGTCCATATTCGTCTAGCTGCTCCACAGTCGGCGAGGCTAAACCAAATATATCGCTCAAATCCTCCGCTTCGGCTAGTCTCAGTATTTCAGCATAGTTATTTGGGTCTTTGATCCCCATTAATTTCGACTGTTCAAATTGGAAAGGGACGTCATACCCTGGATCTTCTCCGGATTCCTGGTCCATTTCCTGTTCCGAAGACTCATATTCACTGTATTCATAAGATTCATAATAGTCGGAGCTTTGAAAATTTGGATCGGTGTAACTCTCAGTTGGGTAGGTGTCGAAGTCCATTGGATCGGCGTTTGGGTCAGTTGGATAGCTATCTGTGTAGATTGGGTAAGTATTTGTGCTAACTGGATCAGTATTGGTGTCAAATGAGTCTTCGATGGTGTCTGTTGGATCAGTATTGGTGTCATACGAATCGGTGGTGGTGTCTGTTGGATCAGTATTGGTGTCATACGAGTCAGTTGTGGTGTCTGTTGGATCAGTATTGGTGTCATACGAGTCAATGGTGGTGTCTGTTGGATTAGTATTGGTGTCAAACGAGTCAGTGGTGGTGTCTGTTGGATCAGTATTGGTGTCATACGAGTCAGTGGTGGTGTCTGTTGGATCAGTATTGGTGTCATACGAGTCAGTGGTGGTGTCTGTTGGATCAGTATAGGTGTCATACGAGTCAGTTGTGGTGTCTGTTGGATCGGATACATATGAATCGGTGGCTTCACCACCACTACCACCAGCCACTTCACGTCTCACTCTCCTGCCATTGTCATTCGTATCGTCGATTGGCTCAACAGAATGGCCATCTTCAAGTGCAATATATTCATCATTTAATGAATGAGGGTCGTCTGCTTCATTTTCCGGGAGTGATCCATCGAAAAATGTGTGTTCAATTTTAGTAGAACCAGAACCCTCATGTTCAAAAGCCAGTATATTGTTGACGGATTCCATTGATTTGGTTTTGACTCGAGAGATTTCGAATTTGTTCTCGTGCCCCTTCAAAGCATTATTTTCTTTAGACATTGGACGCTGAATTGATTTCTGTATCATATTTATATTTCTTTTCTTCCTAGATGTCTTGTCTGAATTCTGGATCTGGTTCTGGTTATTAATTTCATTTTCCGTCGTATCTTGTTTCTCAATGATTTCGTTTGCTGCAACAATGAACGGAACAGCATTCAAGTAATAATAACATGTTAAGTTTAATTCACTATCAAATTACTGTACATGCTAGATTTTGAAATAAAATATAAGTATCAGGCCGGTAACCCCCCCCCCTCCCCCCGGCAAAAATTGTTTCAAAATCATGCAGTTTCGCCGCCAACGTAGTCAAATGTCTCCTCCTGTCCCAATTGGCAAAAGCTGGCTACGGGCCTGACAAATTCCCTTTTTGTACTAAAACTTCACATCATGTTCACATGATAAGTCTTACCAGTGTCATTGTCTAGTTCTACGAGGCTGTTGAACATGGTTCCTTCTATTTTACTTCTTCGCAACATATTCATGTTGCATATAGTCACTGCAGGAACCTCCATGAATGTCCTGAAATTATTCAACTCAATATACACCATGTTTACGAACAAAATTGAACTACATTTTTTCAACCTTAATTTGCATGAAATATCATATTGTAAAAATGTTACGTTTTATTAAATATAAATTTCAATCAAGACTATATAGTAGCCCGTTCAATGGTCACTTTTTCTTTAATAACTTTTTTAATTTTCAGTATTATCAAAATCTGATTACATATTTGAAAACTAGAGTAAAATTCTGACATACAATAAAATTATTTAAGGAATGTCTCTTAATTTATTGATATTATAGGCATTCATAGTATGAGTGACGCAAATACATAATTCACCATTTTGTCTCATATTTTGTTCAAAAATGGCGGCATGTTTTGTGGTTTGAATGTTCAGTTGAAAGTTAATATCTAAAATGTCATAGGCTTATGAAGTCATGTGGACTGCTGCTTTGGTATGAGGTAATGACTGCAGTTATAACATTTTGTTTTAAATTGACTTGTATGTATACCAGTACTTAAAAAGGTTTGTACATTGTATGTACAGCATATTGGTAAGGTCGCAGGACTTAAATTTTTTGACCATTCCATTGTTACTCGAAGTGGATTAGCAACCCTAGTTCGTTTAACCTGTGCAACTATAGGGTCATATTGCCACAGGTTGCAGTGTCTTTCCCAGTCACTCGCCTCTTAACCCATCCTTGGCATGCATGTGAATTGTTCTTCAGCTTTTCAATGGCCTCTGAGATGGCTGTTTGGAGCTCTTGAAAAGATTGAGGACCTACTCCTATCACACCCCGCACATTGGGGCGCCACCTTTTCACATCCTCTTGAACACAACCCAGAACATTTCAATATAGTTGATTTCATATACCCTTGAAGGGAGTTGACTTCTTGTATTTGATGATTGGTCAGTTGCTGCATTACATCAGGATTGTAACGGTGGCAGCATGGCCCTATAAGTCCTATGACAATCTTTAAATATTAACTTTCAACTGAACATTCAAATTCACAAAATATACCGCCATTTTGAACAAATATGAGGCAAAATGATGAATTATGTATTTGCGTCAGTCATACTATGAACGCCTATGATATCAATAAATTATGAGATGTTCCTTAAATATTTTTTTTGCATGTCAGAATTTCACTCTAGTTTCCAAATACTTTTCCAAATACAGACTTTGATAATACTGAAAATTAAAAAAGTTATTAAAGAAAAAGTGACCATTGAACAATTCTGTCCGGGCTACTATATTATTTTATATCTTTTTATAATTAAAAATATCAAATCCATTTCCCAATGTAGTATTAAACAATCCTGTATTTATTTATTTATTTCAAATGATCACGATATGGAATACGACAGTGTCATGTCTAGTCCAGCTACAGGCCTCCTTGACCCCCCCCCCCTCTACTTGACTAAATACCTTTTCGCACACTTGTGTGAAAGGGCTTGTGGCTAGATTACTTATTTCATGTGGATATATTTTTGTAAAAATGGTCATTGGTTATCTAAATAGAAATATGCTATCTGTAAATCAGAAACAAATTTAAATAAAGGAATATAAAACTTTGGAATTTCAAAGAAAAAGTAAAAGATCGAGTGAACGAAGATGATCTACATAATTCTTTCATAGGATAACATGTTTCTATATAAACATGACACAATGTCACAACCTAGTTGCTCACAATATTGAATTCAATCTTAAGTAAGATTTGAATTTCTGAGAATTTGTAGATGATTATGAAAAAATTAATGGGTCAATTTGAAGCAAGTTGAAAAAGACCTTTGAAGGTGATTGAATCTCAAATCTAGTCAGATGTGAACTTCTAAGAGCTTGTAGATGATTTTGAAAAAAATTGGTCAATTTGAAGCCAGATGAAAAACGACCTTTTTGATCTTGAGAAAATCATTGAAGGTCAATCTTTTTTGACTTGGAGAATATCATTTAAGGTCAAATCTGTAGCCAGATTTCAACTTTTGAGAACTTGTAGATGATTTTGAAAAAGAAAATTGGTTAATTTGAAGCAAGATTCCTTTTTGACCTTGAGAAGCTTATTGAAGGTCAAATCTTTTTTGAGCTTGAGAATGTCAAATCTATAGCAAGCTTTGAACTTGTAGATGATTTTGTAAAAATGGTCAATTTGAAGCAAGTTGAAAAATACCTTTTTGACCCTTTTTGACCTTGAAAAGGTCATTTAGGTCAATTCTCAAATCTAAAGTCAGATTTAAATTTCTGATAATTTGAAGATAATTTTGAAATAAAAATTGTCAATTTGAAGCTGAAAAAGACCTTTTTAATTTTTTTGACTTTGAAAAGGCCATTGAGGTCAAATCTTAAATATAAAGTCAAATTTGAACTTCAGAAAACTTGTAGATGATTTTGAAAGAAATTGAAATCAATCTAAACAGTACATTTATATGTTTAGTTATTGGAAGTTGTAAGAATTTGTTAGAGACGCCGATCACCAACCTCCAACCGCCTTAAACACCGGAGATCATAAAAATATGTCACCACTTTTTGGTGGTGACATAACAAAGTAAACACAAATAAAAGGAACACATACCGTAATTTCATCTCACTCCGTATCAGTACAGGCCACTTGTAGTAATCGTTTATTAGCTCTGCAACTTGAAAGCTGAAGTAACCAAAACTTCCGAAAAATATACAAAACCACACGAACTTACGGATCAATTGGGCGCTAGTTATGACCCTTGGGAGACCATGTAGAGTGGTATTGTTTGCAAAATCAGTTAATAGACCTTTAAAAGTAGTCGGTTCGTTTTCTTGCTGGATTTTAATATCGTTTGTACTTATTTTAGTTTCCATTATCCTTATTCACGTGTAATCGTCCTGTGTGCCAGAACTATGCACCAGTTGCAAAGACTAAAATATATAATGTCTACATATATTTATAATTACTATCTATATGTCTTCGGTGTTTTTAATTCGTAAGTTCCATGGGTATTTAATCCAAAGTGAAGTCCAAAAAGTCCCCTAATCCGTTGTCATGGTAAAAAGTATTCTAAAAAACATAAAAACTCACAATATGTTTGTAGCGTTTATTGTCCGAGTTCGTTGTCTTAAATTCGAATGTGTTCAGTTGTCATTCTGATGCTCATAGCATCTCTCTCTCTCTGTTGCATCGCACACGGATTGAAACGGAAAAGGCGTGGCTTGCCGCATTGTTGAATGGCGAGCTGTTTTATTCAGAGAATATTTTAGTGAATACACTCCGCTTTAAAAGTTTCGCAACCCTGCTTTCACATCTGAAAGCATTTTAAAGTACCCTATCTATGTTTGAAATAACATTTATCCTCACTTTAAATCGGGAATTTATGATAACTTTGATGATTTAAAAAGTCGCCATATATATGTAGGTTTATGTCTTCAAATGAAAGCAATTCTGCGAATTCTACAATTAGGCTTGATGTCGTCGAACTTTTGGAGAGCAGCGTATCATTGAGGTTTATGTCATAAATAATGCACTATTAATGCGGTTATCCACTTAATAACAAAAGAAATTATATAGTTAGGCTACCTTTGAGGGGTACTCCGTTCCTTCAAGTATGATCATTTGTATGTTGTTCACGTTGGATGAATGTTTGATCATTCTTTTTTCAAAGACTATAACAATCGGGCCCGTAGCCAGTTTAAGTCAAGGGGGGGGGGGTCATTTTTAATTTGATAATTTTGGCCCAAAATCACTGGAAAGTGCTAAAAATGTTGAAGATCGCATCAATTAAAAATAAGTTTTTGCCAGTGGTTCCAATTTCTTAATTAGTCACATTTTTCATCGAGTATTCCATATTGGGCGCGTGTCGGCTTTTAAAGTATTTGTCAAAAAACGGCTTGGCTTATTAATTATTGATACTGATCTGTTGTTAGCAGTTATGTCCCTATCATTGAATATATGCCTCAGGTCTGTCACCAATATAGCCCGAGCTTGCGAGGGTTATATTACGACAGACCGAAGGCATATATTCAATGATACGGACATAACTGTTGTATTACATACTTGTATTACATACCCAGCGAAGCATTTGTATTGAAGTCAATGGAGCTGAAGGTCGGCTATATATTCCTGTATAGCCGCCAAACCATTTACCATGACAATCTTATGACGTCATCGGGACGTCATGTTTCATTTCTTCCTAATTTCACTCGCACACCGACACGTGGCGTCATTGATGTAACGTAGCCATGATATAAAAGTATGTAATACATGTGTATATTTCATCTCAGATACTAGTAATAGGATTGTGACGATGATGCTCTATTTTGCTTGCACTCTATCAATTGTTTACACACTCGCTCCAGAGTTTGGAAATAGGAATAAAATGACAAAATGTCACCACGTAGTTGGTCACAATTTTATGTTCAAATCTCAGAACCTTCAGATGGTTTTGAAAAATGATAAATTTGAGAGAGCATTGAAGGTGATCTCATATCTAAAGCCAGATTTGATTCTCTGAGAACTTGTAGTTGATTTTGAAAAAAATGGGCAATTTGAAGCAAGTTAAAAATAACTTTTTTGGCTTTTTGACTTTGAAAAGGTCATTGAAGGTCAATTCTCACATTTAAAGTCAGTGTAAACAGTTTGAGTTAAGTTGTAAGAATTTGTTACAGACGCTGATGATGACATAAAAATGCAGACCTAAACAAGTTCCAAGTTATCCATTTGGGGGATTTCCAGTTGGCAAAGTCGTAGGAGACTGACTAGCCCATCTTGAGATGACAACCTTATATCAGTACCTTTCTAGAAGAAACCGTTCTTAGCAATTAAGGCTATTAAGGCAGTCTTTAGTATCAAAATGGAGCTAGCCCGTTAATACCCAATCAAATGATAGTGAAATCTTACGAGGTCTGGGACTTTATCTGATAGAGTTTTGAAATGTTCTGTAATATTAAAGGAAGGACGGATCAACGGATTGAGGCCTAATCAATCCCATAGGCCAAAAACGTTTCAACTTTATTCTGTTATTTTTTTCAAATATACGACCAGGGGCGTTTAAATATGGGGGGGGGGGGGGTGTCGTGGTTATTCCCTGGTAACGGCCATGGTCAGTAACTACAACTATAAATTGCAACCTAAGTTTGTTTTATTCGATATGACCTGACAACGGCCATGATAAGTAACAACAATTAGGCATTAACATGACAAAATGTCGCCAGCATTTAATGAGTTTTATTGAATTTGTTCCAGACGCCGAACACCCTCCCCAGTCGTTTTTGTGGATATTTTTCAGCGTTGGTGGATTTCGATAATTGGCGGATATCTAATTAATGGGCAATTCGGGCTAAATTCAGTCTCTGCATTTTCATTTATTTTCTACTATTATCTATAATTTTGGCCATAATATGCATGGACGAATTGTTCAAAACGCCAAAATGAAGCAATGGGCTACATATACCAAGTTACATTACTGCAAATGAGTGCAGGCACAGTTCAGCTGGACAAGAGAAAAGTAACTAAAAAAACAATGTTCAATAAATAAAACAATATCCTGGCATTTCTTTTGTCCAGTATTTAAACTAGTTTTATAATTCATAATATATGAATAAAGAAAAGGAAAAACAAAATAATATCCTGGCATTTACTTTGTCCAGTATTTAAACTAGTTTTATAATTCATAATATCAGAATAAAGAAAAGGAAAAACACAATTGAATTTTATATTATTTATTTAGCTGATACTTTTTCATTTTGAACAGGAGTGCTCCATCATATTTTAATATCTTACATTTGTACAATTTCATTTACCCTCCCATCCCTTATAAATAACAACATAGACTAGTCCAAAATGGTAAGTCTTGTATAAAATGGAACAACCCTGTGTTAAAAGGGATTCAAATATTTACAAGTAGGGGTGGCAGGTTCCAGGAATCTTTAGACCTTGTATACAGTGTATAAAACACACTGATGGACTTGAATTCCATTTAATGATACATTACATTTATTTCAGATTCCTTTTTAAAATATCAATCAGACCACAATTTAATTGAAAATATACAAAGAGTAAAACATTTATAAAATAGTTCAAAACGTGCAATCCTGGAAAGAAAACACTAAAAATATTAGAAGTAACCTATTTGCTTCTTAAAAGAGAGTTTCCTTTTTGGAGCTTCCAACTAGGCTCTGCGTGCAGGGTACCAAATAAGCCGAGTTGCATTAATATTATGAGTCAATTTTAAAGCTAACTAAATTATCGCCTGAATAATATTTAATGTAGGAATATTTCACAGATTTGTCTTAGATTCCTGAAATATGACTACCTGCCCCAATATACTGCAATCAGTGACATAGTATACAATCAGTATATATGTACTGTACACATAGCAACAAAGTTTTATCATCAGGACATCAGGACCAGGTCAACAATCAATGAGACACCTTATCTCAGAAAGAATATATTGAAGGAATCCAAGGTTTTGTTTCAGTGGCGGATCTAGGGGGGGCCAAAATTTTGTAGGATCTCAAAAAAATGGGACGTTTTGGACATAATTTGGCCTTTTTTGACCAATATATCAAAAATTGGGCCTTAATTTTTCAAAATTTGGGCCCAAAATTTTTTTTCAGACTCAAAAGTTTATCAACCAGCAATTTTGTAACTTAAGTGTTCCATAAAGTTTAACTTTAATGAGTTACCAAATAAGGAAAAAACATTGATAGTTCGGCCTGGTCCCTACCATCAAGTTAAAAACTTCATGCAATCCAATACCATATAATTACATAAATCTACCATTTTGAAGGTTTTCAGATGCATAAAGTTACATTCGTAGGGGGAGCAAGGTATATCTAAATTCTGTATCATCTCAAACCACAAATGACAAAATTGAAAAAACGGGGAAAAAACATGATAATTTAGATGAAAAAAATTATTAAATTTTGTTTTGAATGACAAAGTCATGAAAATTCTTTTCTTTGAATGACAAAATTGTGAAAATTATAACACCTTTAGATGACAAATTCTTAAATCTTATTTTGTAGGATGGTAAACCACTCTTGTGGTTCAACAGATTTTAAGTTTGACTATAAAGTGAAAATAACACCCGGAAAACCCCAAATGCCTAATTTCCCTTTTGAAAGCTAAATCGCAAAATCCAGAGTCAAGCATTTCTTCAGCAAAAAAAACTAATCAGAAATTCATCGCGTTTAAGACCTAATGACATCAGAACAATATGCTCCATGGGGAAATACTTAAATGTACCAAGGAAAATTCACTTTCTTTAGAGTCACAAGTTCAGCTTTAGAATATTCCCTTTTCTCATTGAACCCTTCATGCCCTGTCTCATAGTATTTTTTATCTGTACAAATATCATTTAAACATCAGCGGCATAAAGGGTTAACTACTTTAACTGTAACATTTTAAAAGCTGTTTCAATAAAATTAACGTCCCTCATGTTCTTCTGAATAAAGATTTATCCAGATACACACATTTGATCAATAAAGGCCAATGATTTCAATGAATGTAGGTTTCAAAGCCATAAACAACCTTATTTCCCATAAGAAATTTTCATAGATTTGACTGAAACAGCATGTTAAAACACAACAGTGAAAGTACAGCTTTTTTATAATATACATCACATATATACAAAAATGTACATAAGGCCAGCACTAAATACTATTTGTTTAATTTAGACCCATACAATAATTTTTTATAAGGATCTTATCATTTTAGAGCAGGACACTGTGTACATCATATTTGGTGCTGTCCTTTTACTTTCCTAAGATGTCCAATTTATCATAAGCTTTAACTTATTTCTGTTTGCCTATATCTGATAAATAATGTACAGGGTGTTCCATAAGTAGTGAACTTTTGTATGACATTATTCCATTTAATTATGGGACATCCCTTTTATCATGTTTTTCAATTGAACAAAATTGATTATAAAAACTTCAAATAATATATGGCCTATAAACTTGATAAAAATTAAAAAGGTATGGCATAAGTTTATCAGTTATCAGTTAAAGCTATTTATTCAGTAAGTGTCAAGTGGAGATATCTTTTAATAAGCAAAAAGAGATGAGCCACCCAAAATATATTTTCAGATTGACAATGATGAAAAAGATTATTAGAAATGGACATGTGGTAGATATTAATTAGTTAATTTTGGTGACATTGGTGTGTTGCTTCATGTCAATCAAAATCTTTGGAGACTTCACAAATAATTTTGCAATTAACTTCTCATGTAGTTTTGTACAGTATTCAGTGATCTCCCAAGTTTTTTTTCAACAGTCCTAAATCCTGTCTGATTTTACCTGTTTCTGCAAAATATTTTGTACTTTTGCTCTGGCCAGGGAGATCACTGGTATGGTTATCACATAATGGATAATTAATTCAATTTAATATCATTTGAATTTGATTTGAATTCTGCATTTAAGCGAGTGACCACTAAGTGGTTTTCTCTTTAAGAGTTAATACACAAAAGGATCAGTCGTTATGTTTTATATCTGTATCTCATTCATTAAATAAGTTATAATCTTTAACATAATGACTGGTTCCTTTGAAAAATAATAAATGCACTACTGCACAAAAATAGTTCCATCACCCCTCTATGAACAAACATTAAACTCTTCCAATAAATTCAGCTGTGCTTGGAAGAGTTTAAGTTGTAATTTAAGGGGTGGGTCAGACCACATATACAGGTAACATTAACCCTTTGACCACTTCTCAAAATATTGCATAATTGCCCATTCAGTATAAGCAGAAGTGATCCTTAGAGGGTTAAACTAAAACAAAATACATCACTAAAAGTGCAAGACATTTGAAATACATATATATCAGCAAACAATTTGAATGAAATTTGAATCAATAAATCACAATAATTAAAACTTTGAGCATTGTGGAGTTCATTCCAATTTAGTATGTCAATCTAGCATTTTTAGTGACATGTTAAATATTAATACATACAGTACAGCGATTACAAACCAAAATAAACTCTCCTGTAATTTGTACATTTATCTTATCAATGCAGCTAGCTCAAGATGAAATTCTGTGTTGTATAAGGGCAGAAACACAAAAAACAATGTGAATATACAATTATCAAAAACAGTGTATTTGCATGAAATTTATATTGATGCCGATTTTTTGCTTAAAAATACTGGCCTAAGACTCTTGACCCAGCAAAGATGTATATCAAGGTTTCAAATAGATCTAATCAAAATATTACAATGATTTCTTCATGAAATGTAGGCCAATTTCTCTTTTATTTTTTATATTTGTCGCAATGTTGTATCCCTGTTTGTGTCCATGCGTGAGTTTAAAATTCTTTATAATATGAGACCAATACTTACTTGGAGAAAAATCCAGCGATATTTATCCCTATTCTGAGAAATATCCAGTATTTTCTTTCCCATTCTGAGAAATATCCAGTATTTTCTTTCCCATTCTGAGAAATATCCAGAATTTTCCCTCCCATTCTGAGAAATATCCAGTATTTTCTTTCCCATTCAGAGAAATATCCAGTATTTTCCCTCCCACTCTGGGTGCTATCTAGTGTTTTCTCAGTTTTGTGAAATATGAAGTTTATTTTCATTCTGGAATATACTTAACAAGAGTTTTTCCAGAAATATCCATTGTTTTTTTCTAGAAAAATTCAGTGTTTTTCCAGATATGGTAAAATATCCAGCACTTCACAAGATTCCCAGTGTCTATTCCAAATTTGGAGGTAACAAGTATTTCAACAGATTTTGAGAAATATCCAGCATTTTCCCAGATTCTGAGAAACATTCAGTGTATTCTAAGCAATCACTTGTAGATGTGCATATACAGTAACCTTTGTATCTCAGTTGTATGCCACATGGTAGCCATTCTTGTATGTGATTGGTCTATCTATGGTCACATGATAGAATTCATGGTCACATGATAGCCATTCTTGTATGTGATTGGTGTATCTGTGGTCACATGATAGAATTCATGGTCATATGATAGCCATTCTAGGTATGTTGGCCTATACATTGTCACATGATATCCATTCATGTGTAGGGTCACATGATATCCATTCTCGCCTATGATTGGTCAATTCACAGTCACAAGATAGCCATTCATGTACATGATTCGTTTATATAAGGTAAAATGATTAGAATTTGAAGCCTTCAGATGGTATTGATGCCTCTGGATCAAACTGATAACCTTCTTGGGTCTCTGATGGCACCAGATTTGGATCACCAACAATCTTGAACAAAACAAATTTCATTTAAAACATTGTGTATGCAATGTGGAAATTAAATAATTAAAGTTTTGTGAACGAATTGGATTCAAAAGTTCAATGCATGGAAAAATTATTTATTCTTAAGCTGTACACCCCTAATAGGCAGCACCATCGTGCAGCACTATACAGCACTGTAAGATGGTGCTGTTTACAGCTGTTTACAGCGCTATACAGGACTGTAAACAGTACAGTTTGAGCAATGCGCTGTACTGCAATGTACATTGCTATTCTAGCATCACCTGTTTTGAACAGCGTAGTACAATATGTTTTTTTTACAGCGCTGAACAGTATTGTTTTTGAAAACAGCCATGTACAATACTGTTTTTTACAGTGCTGTCAAGCACTGTTTCATAAACAGCGCTGTTAGTTGCTGTTTGAGATTGGCAGTGTAAAACTTGTGAAAGTTGTAGAATTTATAAGAAATATTTTAGCTGATGAAATTAAATACCATCCAGAAGATAATTTATGAGCTTTAAAATAATATATAACAACAGCACTTACATCATCGTTCTCTGAGAAATACTGATCAATGATTTCGTAAGCAAGTTTGTAGATTTCGACATTTTCATGGTTTTGCAAGTATTCAATCTTGTCTAGTCCTGAAACAAAGAAATAGGTTTCTTCAATTTTACTTTACTCAGAAAATGATATATACATGATCCTGATGCAGCAGTTACGAGTGTACAAAATATTGGTTTTGGCCAAAAGAAGTAAGTAAATCAACAAATATAGAGGGATGGAGAATATAACATATAAACAAAATTAATTAATGTTTCTGTTATAATCAGTATGATCATTTTGACAAAACTCTTTGATAAAAAATACCATGTATTCTAACTTAGACTATAATTGTATATGATTGTATGCCGATGCACTACAGTATACTGTGTGTGTCAACGTTTTAAGTCTTAAATAATAAAAATAATAATAAATACCTCCACATTCTTCAATTTTATTGGTAACAATTTCAATTTCATTTCCTGCCATTTTTAGAATATTATTTAGTCCATCCAGTACAACTTGCACAACTTGGGCATCTTTAACATTTAACAAAGCACAGAATGGCTCAATCACACCTTGTTCTACTATGTAAGCAACCTGCAATTAGAATAAATAAATCACACCTTGGTCTTCTTTGTAAGCAATCTGCAATTAGAATAAATAAATCTCATCTTGGTCTACTATGTAAGCAACCTGCAATAAGAATAAATAAATCACACCTTGGTCTACTATGTAAGCAACCTGCAATTAGAATAAATAAATCACACCTTGGTCTACTATGTAAGCAACCTGCAATTAGAATAAATAAATCACACCTTGTTCTACTATGTAAGCAATCTGCAATTAGAATAAATAAATCTCATCTTGGTCTACTATGTAAGCAACATGCAATTAGAATAAATAAATCACACATTGGTCTACTATGTAAGCAACCTGCAATTAGAATAAATAAATCACACCTTGGTCAACTATGTAAGCAATCTGCAATAAGAATAAATCACACACGAGTTTACTATGTAAGCAACCTGCAATTAGAATAAATCAATTACACATGAGTATACTATGTAAGCAACCTGCAATTAGAATAAATCAATCAAAAATGACTCTACTATGTAAGCAAACTGCACACATAAATCACACATGACTCTACAATGTCATCAACCTGCAAATCTGAATCATAAATATGATGTTGTTATACTTTTTAAATAGTTAAAAATTAATAAGTCAGTTTTATGAATGAAAAATACAGCATAACCAACTACCATGTTTTTGAACTATTTAATTAGCAACAATAACTTTGACAAACATGCAATAAGTTATACGGTTTGTATGTATCTTAATACTGTTACAAGTTCTATCTTTATATAATCATTAATTGTAACGTTGAATGAGATATTTATAAGTAATTCAGAAGAATCTGAGAGTATTAAAAATGTAAATAAAAATATTGATGCTATACCTGTTCTTTTTTGCCACTTATGGTTAGATTACTGATCGCCCATGCAGCCTCTTTTTGGGTCTGGAACTCTCCCTGAATTAAACATAGAAACATGAATGGTATGTAACATATGTCACAATAACAAAAGAATGGTATGTAACATATGTCACAATAACAAAAGAATGGTATGTAACATTTGTCACAATAACAAAAGAATGGTATGTAACATATGTCACAATAACAAAAGAATGGTATGTAACATATGTCACAATAACAAAAGAATGGTGTGTAACATATGTCACAATAACAAAAGAATGGTATATAACATATGTCACAATAACAAAAGCCAGGTAAAGAAACCCATTTTTTAAAGCTTGTACATAAACACAAGTGTTGAATTATGGTCCTCTATGGATTAGTTCTCCCATTTGCACTGTATACTTGGCTGATTGAGTATAAAGGTATACAAAAAATAATTGGAATTGGAAAAGTGAATTGATAGCAGGAAAGTAATCCCGAGGGTCGAAATACTGCATGCCCATGTACAGGTTCTCTTTAAAACTTGTAACTCAACCTCCATATTACTTCATGACTATATATGGAATATCATTTCAATTAGGTCTCTGGCAAAGTGAATTGAGAGCAGGACAGTAATCCAGGGGGTCAAAATATAACACAATCACAAATAGGTTCTCTTAATAAGTGTAACTTAATCTACCAAGTAGAAAAATTTCCAAAAGTATCAGGAATATTTGGAAAATCAACAAAGAAAATATCCTATCCTAATGAAACCCATTTTAGCCAAGCACACAACCCAAGAAAGGCTTTTGTTAAACTGAAGCTTATTCCCTAAGGATTTATGATAGAGATGTTTATGATGTGTCTTGCATTTTCGTAGGACATTATAGCTGATATCGTATGAGACAATATCAAGACACACATCAGGCCTGTAGCCAGGATTTGACAAGGGGGTTCACTTTTTGAAAAATTCCAGGGTTCACTATTAAGCATGATTTTGAAAGAAATTTTAGCCAGGGGAGGTTCACTCAAACCCATAGAGCCCCCCCCCCCCCCCTTGCTACGGGCCTGCATATGGGATAAATTAATATCTGGGAAAGTTTCAAAACATTGAATATACATTATTAAACCATTTCATAGAACAAAATAAACATATTATTTTGAATACATGTATCTTGATAATCAAAACAATCCTTGTGATTTCCCAAACAGTGAAGCAGGCAGTTGAACTTAAACAATGTCAGAATTATTTTCCTTACCCTACTGAGATGGTGTATAACCATGGGGATAAGCTTTGCATCAATGACTGCCTGGACTTGCTGTTGGTTTCCTGCTGTAATATTGGAGAGAAACCAGACAGCTTCCTGCAAAGTATAACATACATAATGTGTATTCTAGTATCTGATTGGTCAATTTAAGGTCACATGACTGCCTATGGCTTGCTGTTGGTTTCCTGCTGTAATATTGGAGAGAAACCAGACAGCTTACTGCAAAGTATAACATACATAATGTGTATTCTAGTATCTTATTGGTCAATTTAAGGTCACATGACTGCCTTGACTTGCTGTTGGTTTCCTGCTGTAATATTGGAGAGAAACCAGACAGCCTCCTGCAAAATATAACATACATAATGTGTATTCTAGTATCTGATTGGTCAATTTAAGGTCACATGACTGCCTATGGTTGGTGTTGGTTTCCTGCTGTAATATTGGAGAGAAACCAGACAGCTTCCTGCAAAGTATAACATACATAATGTGTATTCTTGTATCTGATTGGTCAATTTAAGGTCACATGACTGCCTATGGCTTGCTGTTGGTTTCCTGCTGTAATATTGGAGAGAAACCAGACAGCCTCCTGCAAAGTATAACCAACGTAATGTGTATTCTAGTATCTGATTGGTCAGTTGATGGTCAAATGACTTGCAGTGCGTTTCCTGTTACTATAGCAACAAGCTGACATTATAATACAAAATACCTACCTTATTAATTTTTTCTTTTTGGTGTGACAAAAGTGCTGGGAACTGACTCAGGGCGTTACAGTCGAGAACAACCTGCGTCTGTTCATCTGTTCCAGTAACTATGTTACCAACAGCACGCAGCGCTGCAGTCTGTAAAACAGCAAGAATATCATACATCAAATCATTCATATATTTCTACAGCAAAGAATGGCAGGACAGATAAAATAAATGCCAGCCTATGTAGGCTTGTGTAGTCTTTATAGGCTTGGATAAAGTGTTTGTATTTTCTGTACACATCATGTCATATTTTGGTATTTGTACCCTTAAAGTTTATGTTCACCGTCTAGTTTCAATGGGTAGTTGTACCAATGCTGAATGGTCATCCAACTTGTTCTTGAACTGGTCAACATTTCTTGTTTGGATAACATATGAAGAGCAACAAATATAGTACACAGATATGTTCTTCTTTTTTGTTGTTATCACTATGCTATAAATACACTCAGGCTCCAAGCTCAATATTACACTTTCTGTATCCAGTGATAAGTGACAATGGAGACTATATTCATCATAAAAGTCTTATGTGCACTTTTTGAGGAATGTGCACTCTTTAGAGAGAATATGGTAACTAAACAGCCTATTCAACTTACCTGAACTTTGACCTCTGAATGACTTAGTAGGGGTACCAACATTGGGACTACTCCAGACGCAATGACCATCTGTATCTGATTATTTCCACCATCTGTGAGATATGACAGTGCCCAAACAGTATCTACCAGAATCTGCAAGATTAATACATGTAGTGCAATATTAATACATCAAGTACAACAAGATTAATACATTAAGTACATGGTTAAAACATTAAGTACAAGAATTATGCATTAAGCTTTTGTAATGGTAAATTCTAAAAAAAGTTGCATTTACAAAGTGTGACAATTTTGTTATGACACTGATTATGCTAATGCTGGTCACAAAAAATCCCCGCAAAAAACAAAATCCAACAACCTGGTGACATAAAAAATAATATTCGTAGTGACAGAAGTGTGAGAACAATCTGTAAAAATGCCAATCAGTACACCTAAGTCCATACAGTTGACCTAAGTTCTAGAACATTATCAATCTATCCTCCATACTGCATATTAAACATTAATCTGTGTTACATTCTGAAATTGGCTACTTACATTAGTGTCTGTGTGAAGAATCAGTTTGTTAAGGGCTGGAAGTATTTCTTCTATGGTATTCACTGGGGGTGGGGGTTCCTTGTTCCTACATAGGTTTACGATCACCCAAGTTACATTACGTAGAAATGACAGCTGTGTGTCCGGATTGATGAAGTAGAGTAGAGGTTGCACGACACCTAGGCTTATCACGTAGTCTCTACATTGGGGGCCATCACCTATAAATCAAGATAACATTAGTTTATGTTGTTAATAGACTTATCACGTAGTCTCTACATTGGGGGCCATCACCTATAAATCAAGATAACATTAGTTTATGTTGTTAATAGACTTATCACGTAGTCTCTACATTGGGGGCCATCACCTATAAATCAAGATAACATTAGTTTATGTTGTTATTTTTTTATTATGGCAAAACAACTGATCAGTGTTCAGTGATCATCAAGGGCATGGCATAAAATTCTGTAACAATATGATATGAATATGATTTAAAGAAAAACAAAAATAATAGCGTCAGGAGATTGACTGTCAGCAGATTATTTTCTGGTTGATTTAAAGGCCCCCTCTAAACATTTTGTAACTGTTTTGGCATCTGAGCCTATCCTAATAGAAAACTGAGAATATTTTATTGTGACACAGAACTTGAAATCTCTCATTTCTCTCTCAAAAGTACTTTAAGGCAGCTATTATTGCAGGACCTCCACAATCTCAGCATTCAATACTTTAAATGTTATTTATCATTCATGGCATTTCTGCAAAATTGAAAATTCTCTGGAAAAACTTTATTTTCCAGTGTTTTTGTCAAATTCCATTTTTTCCAAAATTAACATGGCATTAACATGCAAAATGTCAACGCAATTTGTAACAGACATCAACCGTCGATTGACAACCGCTGTCATGAATAAATGGAAACCGTAATAATATGTCCCCACATTTTTGTGGTGAAATAAAAACTTGAATTTTTTTACTGTACAAGAAAATTCTAGACCTATGGGAAACCTGTCACGACATAGCACTTACCTTTTTTTCTCCTTTCTAGATAACATACTAATGTAACATATTAGCTATAACAAATTCTACATAGGAATTATCCAATGTATAATGTATAGCACTTACCTATGATGTTTCCAAGTGCCCACACTGCTTGCTCACAAACGTTTGTATGCTCTGACTCTAGGAGTCGTAGAAAGAGTGGCACGGCACCAGAGCCTACAACTGCTTGTGTTTGTTGGGATGTACCTGAAGCTATGTTAGTCAGTGCCCATGTTGCTTCAAATTGGAGTGAGGGGCTACAAAATACACCATTTTAAAGCTGAATTTTTATTACATGTATTAAGATAGATTGTTGCTTCAAATTAGAGCTGGGGCTACAAAATACACCATTTTAAAGCTGAATTTTTATTTCATGTATTAAGATCCAGTGTTGCTTCAAATTAGAGCTGAGGCTACAAAATACGCCATTTTAAAGTTGGATTTTCATTATATACATGTGGTAATCACCCATGTTGTTTTAGATCGGAGCAAGGCTGCTTAAAACACTAAACTTAATTTTCACTTTATACATATAGCAAGCACTCATACTCATTTTCATAGTTCGTAGTTTTGAATAGTCACAAAATCCTCCACACTTCTGTGCAGAGCACTGATCTTGCTTGTTGAAACAGAGCATTGATCTTACTTGCTCGTTAAAACAGAGCACTGATCTTACTTGCTCGTTGCAACAGAGCATTGATCTTACTTGCTCGTTGAAACAGAGCACTGATCTTACTTGCTCATCGAAGCAGAGCGTTGATCTTACTTGTTGAAAAAGAGCACTGATCTTACTTACTTGCCATCGCAGCTCAAGCAGTGTACTAATATGGGAAGAATACCAGACGATATCAGATCATCTATAGGAGGGTTACGATCACTAGACAATAATTTCCTGAAAAACAACAATGGTAAGTTGAAAATTTTAAATTGTTATGAACCTTTTCTCCTCAGTCTTAGTACCCTCAGTTTCAAGCATACAAATCTATGTAATCTCATTGCTATTGCTTCAATTTTAGACAGTAAAATTGTTTGTATACTGCAACTAGATTTTTGAAAATATCAGAATTATGTGGTTTTATTTCAATAGCCCTTAGATATATGGAGGATATGATTCATAAGTGAAATGATTTTTAGCCAAGTATATACAAATATCATATCATTCAAGTAAATCATAGGATATTGTTTTTTTCCATAGTTATAGGTGTAATTCACTTTCTTATCCTGTTATCACCTAAACTCATAAATCATAGGATAAATAGTTTTTAATAGGAGGGACAGAATACGAATTTACTCCAGGGAAAATTTGATATTGGCCAAGGAAAATAAGATATTGACCAAGGGTGACAGCCTAAGTGTCAATATGATATTTTACGAGCCCAATATCATATTTTCTTGAGGAAAATATTCATATTGCACCACGACCATCAATAACCTACATATTCCATGATATTTTCTCTGAAACTTATTCATCTCCAAGTTTGATCAGTCATCACACAATGATGGTGACATATAAATGTAAATTATATTTTTCAGGTAGAGAAACATTTGTCAGAAAGTAGCAATTTTGACAACCTTATGTCTCTAATTCTAGGCATAAAATGATACGTCTGAGCTCTAGCCCCGTGTTTAAAAGGCTCAAAACTAACCTAGCCGCTTGAACAGCACTTAGTTGAATAGCTGGTTCACAACTTGCGGCATTTTGCACAATTGTCTCTAAAGATTGTTGAATCGGTCTATCACTTTCATCAGAATCAAAGTCTGTACTATCTTGAGCTGGGACATTACGCCTTTTTAATAAAGATTCCTCGCGTTTGTTTTTTCTGAGTTCCACTGTCACTTCCTGTCGACGTCTTCGCATTTCCTGGAAAAAATCACATGATATAGTCATCATGTTAATGTAGTTCAGATCTTTATACCATGATACATCAATACCAATCTCCTTCATACATGAAAATTACACTAGGTAGCTATAGGTCTAGTACATGGGAAACAAAGTGTGATAACGAGCAAAGTTTATGTGTGTAGACAAGTGAAATAGGACACAGGGTGAGGATACAGAATACTACAAAATAATATAAAGGTAACTTAAATGTACCATAGATACATAGGTCTGATTTCCTATGTTCAGCTTGAGGAAGTTGCTTAGATATTTTTCTGTAACTTAGCTAACCTCTAATTATCATCATAATCAAAGTAAGGTATCCCGTCCCGTATAGTCCTGAGAATGTCCCGATCTGTTGCCTGTACGTTTACAACATGGAAGAAAAATCTACGCCTCCCATTTAAAGGACCTATCTCAATAAACTTAAGTATATTTTAGCATTCTTTTTATGTATTTGAAGTCCCTATTGTATGGGTTCATCGGAAGAACGAGGACATTTTCCTTTTTCATCGAGAAAAACCGCACCTCTTTTTAAGATGGGGGTAAGTTTTAGAAGGGGAACCCACGTAATAATATCTCAATCTACTACTGCAAAGCCCGGATGTACAAATAGATTGAGGCATGTTGATGGTTGAAACAAGTTAAATAACACGCAGAAACTGCAATATTTCTTTCTCCTGCAGATAAACCCATACGATCGTGGATTCAAATTTCAAATACATAAAAAAATCTAAAATACTAAGAAATTTATTGAGGTAGGTCATTTAGCGTAGAAGGCGTAAGATTTTCTCCCATGTTGTAATCACACAAGCAACAGATTTCTCGAGACTTATTCCTGGCACAGGATAATAAGTCCACTTCGACCTCAGAATTTCAAGACAAGAACTATAAGTTACAGAATAAAAAATTGAAAATGGAAGTCTTCATACTGAAGTAACATATTTCATACATATAAAATATAGTACAATGCAAGTTATAACACAGTCCCAAAATATTCAAGATTCATCACTCAGTGATTCACAAATATTCATGTGAACTGGAACACGATGGCGCCATATTTCGTCAAAATTGTGACCTATTTTTCATAACTTTGACGGTCTACATCTAGACTCCTGGCTCTTTTATTGATCATTTCTAGTTTGTAATAAATAAATAAACATATGAACTTTTAGAAATTATCACCCTTCTACCTTAAGATACTAGTGGGACCGAGGATGTAACATCAGAATTTATCACTGACAATTTTTCTGAAAAACATGCGAATTTTTTCTAGAAAAGTCATTGTTTCAAAGTAGGGTCAATTTCTTCAAATCCAAACAATATCAAAACAAACTTACATCAGCATCCTTTCCTTTGTTTTTGAAAAGGTGAGTCCGCCCTTTCCCATTCGGATCTGTGGCCATTTTATGTAACAATATCCTAAAACAAAGTGGAACAAATTTTACGAATATTTTTTCAAAATGCCGGCCTTGTAGTGACGTCACTTCTCTTTCAGCATTTTGTTACAAGAGTTGTGATTGGCTATATTTTAAGTAGCACTAAACCTTTGACTACAAGTGCGTATTATAGAGCTTGATGAGTGAACAATATTTTTCTAAATGACAGAAGCTTCATTTACGTTTGGTGTGGATCATAAAAGCGGATCATAAAATATTTTACTGACTCATTGTCTCTGACTCACACCTCCAGATGGTTTATTGTTTCATGCGCCTTACCTTCTCCCATCTCGACCCAAGGCACCCTCCCACGGGTGGAAAGTCTACCCGCGTACAGTTGGGGACAAAAATAAATGACAGGTCGATTTTCGATCACCATTTCCTAATTATGGTCGTCTGAAAGCCCATTATTTCCAATATTGTCTGGATACATATCCCTTAAAATTTGTATATTTCACATTTTGTATAATCTCATCCACTGATGTATGGCCTCTTGAAAATTCTCTTATTTTTAACATGGGAAATTCTCACTTCAGCAAATCCACCTGTCATTTATTTATGTCCCGAACTGTATATACAACCATGGGCTCTATCAGTGGTAGAGCCCATGATACAACCTATAGCTACCGCCGAGCAAAGACCCGAAGATGTCTGAAAATGTAGGATATAAGTTAATAAACTCCTGTTAATATATTGAAATTCTCAATATGAGAAATAGATAAAACACAGAATTGTTTGCAACAGATATAGTTGTTGTTCCAGGGCACTCATGTTTACCGGAATAATGAGTAGGTTATGCAATTTTCTATCAAATCACAAAATTCAACTTTCAAATATTAAAATGATGTTTTACATCTTAAATAAGTAAGAACCATGGTTTAATTAGGGGAGAGCAGGGTAAGACGGAACGATGGCTTTTTAAGAAAAACTATTCAAAAATGGTCGTTGAAGTTAACTTTTTTGAAAACATATTACGTTATCTTTCTATTAAACTGCCAATTCCTCGTCGGCTGCAACTAATATCTTTAATAAGGGTGGATATATAATTTTTTATCCATTCTTATATCATTTCATAAGGTTTTGATCGCCTGTAGAATCAAAAACATACGTGTATTAATACATAGAAAATTATCTGAAAATACAATTTAAAAACCTCTAATTTAAGAAAAATTATAGCTTTTAGCTGTCTCATTTTGAAAGCAGACGATATTTTGTAGATTCACGTAGTGGTGGGGTAAGACGGAACGATCTTTCATTTTTAAGGTCAAGGTCATTCAAAGGTCAATATCTAGGTATTTGGTGATTTAATGTCATTTGGGCTGTTGTGAACCTCGGTGACCCATGATTAAGTGAACTGAGGTCAATTTCATTCCAAGGTCAAAGGGCACTCTAGGTTTTTACTTTTTAATACCTAGGGGGCTGTTGTGACCCTTGGCAACTCATGATTACGTGACCTGAAGTCAAGGTCATGGTTTTTGAGTCAAGGTCATTTCAAGGTCATCTCAAGGTCAAAGGTCAATATTTAGGTTTTTGGCGTTTCAAGGACCTTGGAGGCTGCTGTGACCCTTGGTGACCAATGATTAGGTGACTCGACGTCAATTTCACTCCACTGGTTTGGCAACTTTTCATGTGTTAATGCGAAGAAAAGACGTTTCCCACTTAGTGTTGACCTGTGTACTAGCATAGTCGACAGGTAAATCATTGTCAACTTTTCTTAAACTTAAAACAGATTAAACATTGTACCATCTTTACATGGATAGCAAGTGCTTTCTGGAAAATCATTCCATATTGGTTGTGGTACAAAAACATGTATGCTATTGAATTTAAAATAAAACACCCTTGGTATACGCAGCTAACGAAAATTGACGAAAAATTTCGAACGGAATGCGTGACATATACGTAATTCGCGTGAAAAGTCCGAACGAAATGCGTACATTTTTTTCCCGCGTTCGTATTTTTGCTGTGTTGACGATCTTTTTTAGAAATTTTTCTTCAGAAATATTTTTGCTTGACAATTACCAGGTAAAATGCGTATTTGCGTGACATTTTCTGTCACGCAAAAATAACTGGCGTGACTTCAAATTCTTCAGCAAATGCCGCCGTGACAAATACGCAAATTGCGTGACAGTTGACAGGCCTGAGACCGGTACGGGTTAACGGTTTTATTTGAATTTAAAATAGCTATAACTTGCTCAATATTGACTTCCTCGTGTCTAATTTGAAATATATGATGCCTCCCGATGCTTTTAAGTACCCCACGTACCACGTCGGTGTGGAACATCGTATAACGCGTCCCTTAGTCTATAAGGTCATCATGACCTGATTACAGAACGGTATGGTCGCCATCGAATTTTGAATCATTTCAAAATTCTAAAATCACCTTCCCGTATGAGAACGTTCATGAAGTTCGTAAATAGTCCTTAGAAAGTTGCAGCTACGTTCATTCCGTTCGCAAACAGTTTAAAACCAGTTTTGAAGAACGCAGTGGCAACTTCTTTGGTGTGATAGCTATATTTTTGCTAATCCGTTCATAAGCAGTCTTTAATACGTTCTTAATCAGTTTAAACCCGTTTGCAATTAGTTCTACCTCGTTCTCAATACGTCCTCAGACAGTTCATCTCGTTGTAAAAACGTCCCTAGTAGGATTGAAATACGACGGTTCCGTTCGTAGTACGTCAAGCTCGTCGTTAGTACGTTGTCATTCGTTCTAATTGTAGAACGTGACGACCATGAGAGCATTTTGAGCATGTTCTAAGTTCTAGAGGACCTACCCGTTGAAGTACGCTCGATGAAGTTTGTAAATAGACCCCAAACGGTTCCAAGACGTCCAGTCCGTTCGTACACAGTTGAAGCCTGTTTTCGAGAACGTAGTGAGAACTAGTTTGGTGTGATAGTAGAGTTAGCTATCCTTCAGATAAAATCAACTGTTCCGTCTTACCCCACCTGTTCCGTCTTACCACACGCCTGGTAAAGTTGCCCTTGTTGACACCATAGACGGTTTTGATATGAAATAGTAGGTATAGATAATATAAATTAATTTTAAAATAATTTTCAGTAGCTCTGCTTTGTAATATATAATAAACATTTTCAAGGAAACCCATGTTTAATGAACAGTAGCCTATCAAAGAAAGGTGTAGATTTTCGTTCCGTCTTACCCCGCTCTCCCCTACTCCATTTGATTCAAAGATACAATATGTGCAAAAAGTCACATTTGTTTAACTGCCATACTTTGCATATCATTGAAATAACCGGTGAATGTTGAAAATGAAAGACCTGATTATACCACGAGTACGATTCTATAGGACTCGATGCTACCGCCCGAGTATTCCGATTATACCGTGAGTAAAACCCGATCACCATAATTTTCATTGTAGATTATATCATTACTTCTATCTGACTATGCTCATAATCCAATGACTTCGGTACGTGTTATTTTGAATCTACCAAGACGGTAAACATATGACAAAAGTTAAATATTTTGATTGGTCTAAAATGTGCAATGTTAAAAGACCCGTTATGCTCATTCACTCTCAATTTTGAATAAGATATCAGTAGAACGGTTACTAAAACGAAAAAGATTGACCAGTAGAGATTAGGAGCTTGAAACATATTCATTTTTATCCATAAATATGGATAATAATTGATTTAAATGCAATTTGCGCTATTCCTGCTCCAGTGTTGATAGCCTAATTTCTGTTGTGTCAGTCTGGGTCAAAATGTTACAATAGTATTAATAACGAGGAACCCTTAATAACGGCAATTAAATCAAGGTTCGAAAACTCCCAAGAGTAGCACTAAGACTATTTCATCATCAGCATAAACTCGACGATTTCATCGGATCTCAACAGATTTTACTCAAGTAATCGGATTCTGAGATCCTTTACTCAAGATATTTTCAGATCTTTATAATATTACTCATCGATCACATCGAGGTCCGATGTCCGATAACATCGGATCTTTTAGGACAAAGTTTATGTGAAGATTTTGCTGTTCAAAAGTGCAATTTAGACCTAATAGTTTGACACTTAATATATTATTATGCATATGACATGCATTTACCGACCCAGGTATGTCTTATGTATGTCTCGTTATCAATTAAAGCGAATATGAATGAGAAAACAAACCGAAAACCATTATACGTTTTACTTATCTCTTAATTTGGACATAAAAATATATTTCAACTATAATTCTAGGCCAATTCCGCCTGCTAGAACATTTTAGTAACGATTCTAACCATCCGAGGGAATTGATAGTGGTCCAATATTACCTTTATTGTCCATTTTCCTATGAGATGTAGTTTACCAAACATTGGATTGGCGGCATATGCGTGTCCTACTCGGCGGTATATAGTACTATATACGCGGGTAGACTTTCCCCCCGTGCCTCCGCTACGACGTCGTGGCTATAGACTTTTGGTAATTATGGACCTAGTATACTGCTTGTAATCTCATTTGCATGTCATCTTTCGGAATCCATTCTAGGTACACATACTTTATCATGTACTGTCTTGTTTTAACATCGGTTCTAGCTTGTTTAGGTACTACCTGTACAGTATTGAGTTCTTCATTCAGTGACTGTGTAATGTTTTTTTGGCCCACCCTGTAGGATGAATTGGGTTTTTTCATGCATTTTGTTTATGCATGAATTACGTCAATTTCGCGTGCAAACATTGGGAAGACGTTGTCATTACCGGATGCCCAAATGTGTAAGGAACACATAGATACTCGAATGATGTATGGCTCTTACATATTTTAATAAAAAAACAACATAAAACGTTTTATTGACTATAAGATTATACCATATAATCCCCCAAATAATATTTCTCATTTTCAAAGATAAACCATGGATTAACACCCAGTAGTCATTTTTATTTTTCAAACTTAGAGGACTGGGAACCATTGATGATCAGCGCTTTTCAAGACGATACATGCTGTTTAAACAGGTTTCACATAAGCCGATAATATCTCAAATTATGTAATGCTCTTCTTTGAGAATATTTATAGAAATCCAATTGTATAACTCAGCTCAGCATATTTTTAGATAACAGGAGGTGTTCATGCAAACCTTGGTTGTGTTAGATTATACACTCCCCTCCAAAAGTTTGGCAACCTTAGCTCCCTCAATTGACCTACATGTTAACGAGGCGTATAGCCTTTTTATTTTTTCGTGAAGCCACTCAGTAAAGTTACGATTTCTCTGCAACCTGATGTCCAATCAAGATCATTCAAGTATCTATGTGTTCCTGACACGTTTGGGCGTCCGGGAATAACAACGTCTACCCAAAGTAACCACGCGAAATTAACGTAATTTATGACTGAAATCGGGAAGACAAAATTTGAGATTCACAAACAAAATTGCTTGTGAAAACTATTTACAAAAAGTGTTCCAGAGAACATGTTATTACATGTCACATAGGCCAGTGTTTTATATGGGGATTATATGTACTTCACTTGTTTACATGAACGTAAATCATTACAGTCATGAAAATTCTCTCCTAAAATTGAACTAACAACAATATAATTGAGATCTTTTATGAATGTTTTATTCATATTCATCATTAGAAAACATTATAGCACATTGTAGTCATAAGTAAAATACAGCCATAGCAAATAAACTTGAAAATGCTGTTGTCTTACTATTGCACCCTTTAAATTCTGTTTCCGCATAAAATGGAAAAGTAGTAAATGTGTAGGTATGAAAAACAGCTATAGTCTGTTAATGTAATCACATGCATATTTAGCTAATATGTACAGTAAAACTTGTGTATAGTGAACATTTTTTTGCCAAGAAAAAACGTTCACTTTAGGTAGGTGTTCGCTAGAGAGAGGGTAATTTATACAGAAGTCAGTGGACTATGTGCGTAGGAAGGGTGTCCACTAGGGACAGGTGTTCACTAGAGAGAGGTGTTCACTAAGACAGGTTTTACTGTACTGTTAAAACTAGTCTTACTATTCTAATATATAACTGAAAATCACGACTCATGCAAAATGTGACTACTTCCAACTTGTTACAACAGAAGTCGACTGCCAACTGCAGGCCCGTAGCCAGGGGGGTTTGGGGGGTTCGGGCCAACCCCCCCCCCTGGCCAAAATTTCTTTCAAAATCATGCAGTTTTTCACCATTCTGACTATTTTTTGAGTGATTTTTGGCCAAATTTGCCCCCCTAGATTTTTTGGGAAAAGTGAACCCCCCTTGGAAAATTCTGGCTACGGGCCTGAACTGCCAACCACTGAACACAAAAAAGTTGGTGAAAATTGTAACATAGTAGTTACACTTAGGTTGGAATAAAATCACCAAATGATATCTAATATTGACTTTACATAGAGTATATTACACTAATATACAATTTTACATATGTACAAAATTTACAGTTATTTACACATCTTTTAACACTTGTTTTACTATAAAACACATTGAACTGAATATATGTGAAAATACAACAGCTGAATATGAGTTAGCATTATCATTTGAAAATAAGTCTCAATGAACTACATCATAGGTGTATTTATCATGATTTAATTTTTTTTATTAATCATGATTAAATGTTTTTTTAGTCCTCTAAATTTGATATTTTTATTAATCATGATTTAATTTTTTTTTATTAATCATGATTAAATGTTTTTTTAGTGCTCTTAATTTGATATTTTTATTAATCATGATTTAATATTTTTTATTTATCACGGTTAAATGTTTTTTTAGTGATCTTAATTTGTTATTTTTATTAATCATGATTTAATATTTTGTAACAGTGTATGTAAATTCCCTGATCCACTGTGGGGCTGTGAATTTGTACTAGCCATATATATACGTTATTCAAACAAGTTTTCCAAAGTAATAATGCAATAAGGGATAAATCTGGACATTCATCCCGATTCTAATAAAAATTCAAACAATCCTACATAAATTGATTTAATTCTACCCTAAAGCTAACCCCAAACAACAATTTTTCACAATTTCAAGGCAACTCTGGTAGAGTATGCATGGGCGTAGCGCCTGGTACGCTGGGTACGCACAGGCGTACCAGATGGTTGCAAATTCGCTCCAAAGTAGAGCCAAATTTCAAAATTTTCATGGGGGAGAACCCCCAGACCCCCCTGAATGCTCGATTTTTGATTCACTCAAAACTTGTTCCCGTGGTGGTGGCGTACTTCTTAGAAAAATAGCGCTACACCCATGGTATGGAGATAATAAATCAATTTTTCATGCGTCAAAGATAAATTATAAAAATGTACACATCCAAACCCCTTATTAACACTTTAAATCAATCAGTTATTGAAAATAAAAATAACATTTGATATACAAATATTCATGTGTTCTTCCAAGGATTTCTCACATCTGCCCAAAGTTGATCAAAAATTTTAACTTTTCATGAATTCTCTTATTTTTAAGTGGGTACAGATGGATTTTCAGGTGGGTGCCTCTTCATTATCCTAATCTGAATTGAGTGCACCAACCTCAAACCTGGGGAGAACACTGAACTCTTATATCAAGGGGAATATTAAAGTTACATGAGTTATTCTTTAATGTCAGATCTAGGGTTCTTAATAATAGTGTCAAACAATGATGGTATGGGAGCTCGGGGTCGAGAACCCCTTGGCCCACCAAGTCCCATTTGCCCAGAACCCACTGGACCAGGAGGTCTCATAGAACCCATTGGCCTGTTGAAACCTCTACCTCCCATATGACCCCTCAGGCCACCTCTCGGACCAGTGGGTCTCACGGAACCGATAGGATTAGGACCCCTTGGGCCAAAATGACCCATCGGCGGAGCAGTTCTCATTTGACCAATTGGACCTCTGTGAATTCCTCTCCTTAAATGCAATGAATGGTCAATCACATTTGCTACATTCCTTACTGGCTTATTTTGATTTCCTTGATGTGCATCATCGGCTCCACTTTGACGTAAAATCATATGATGAGGACCAGTTTGACTGGAGTCATAGCCAAAATTTTGGCGAGTACTCTTGGGTGCTGCTACAGATGAAGAAGCAGATCGAGGAATTGAAATCTGCTTTTTTGAAATTGGAGGAGAAAATGGCATCTTAAATTCCCCATCAGTTGAATTTGGTTCTTTGAAAGGTTGAGGTGCATCTTCTATTCCTACAACACCAGGTCTCTTGCTTTGAATATTCGTTGAATGCGCTCCTCTATTTACAGAGCACCTATTTTGCACCTGTTGAGATTTCTGGCTACTATAATGGTGCTTGTGAACATTTAATGGTCCTTCATTGTTCATTCGTCCTAATTCAGGTCCAGAAATACCAGGACCAAGAAATCTGGTAGGACGAGGTGGCTCAAAATCTTGTTGTGGCATATTTCCATGTTGTGCTTTGTCAGTGTCATGTTGTCCTGGTAACAGAGCACCATGTTGTGTCTCAATAGCACCATGTTGTCTTGGTAACAGAGCACCTTGTTGTATCTTAATAGCAGCATGTTGTCTTGGTAACAGAGCACCTTGTTGTGTCTCAATAGCATCATGTTGTCCTGGTAACACAGCACCATGTGCTTCAGTAGCACTATGATGAGGCTCTGAATACTGTAGCATATCAGACTGCTGAGATTCATGCGGTTGTGGTTGCGGGTGAGATGGGCCCACCATTTCCCTAGGCTGTTGTAGTATAAACTCTCTTTCATAACTTCTATAATGATTCTCAGACATTTCAAAGTGTTCCTGCAGAGACTGAGGCACAACGCATACACCGTCATCCGTTCGCAAACATTTGATTGGTGGTTTCAATAGATCTAAGAGCACAGACCTAATCCTCTCTTGGACCGCTTCTTTACGTGTATCTGTACTCAACATTGGACTATTCTCTGTGAGTCTATCCTTACTCTGCATTATATTGATATTCACTTGGAAATCGGAAACATTAAGCTTCCGTCCCGCATCGCATTTAGCATGTAAACCTGAGTAGAGTCTCGCAAGTCCTTCTTCTATCATATAATACATTTCCTGCCTAAGGTGGCCGCAGTTGACAACGATTGTCTTTGTGTTCAAAATATTACCAACTGATTTCATATATACACCTTCCTTGACCGACATCAAAAACCAGATTCGTCCATTTTTGATGTTTTTATCAGCAATAAGTGTTACTAAGATACGGTTCATCCATTTTTGCATAGGGATTTTAACACCGATGCTGGACTGAAGTCGGAATATTCCCAAAAAGTTTTCTGTGTCACCAATTTTTAGACTTGTGTTGAGGATTGTTTCATAGATTTCGTGAACCTTCAGAGGATATGCCGCAATGCTTGGTACAGCTTCATCTGAAATGTGAATGATGTAAAACTTAAAGTTCTCAGACTTAATATTCGATAAAAGTATGTGGAGTTATTTTGGGACAGATGTAATTTTAAGGAATTTTAGTCACTCTAATTTGAATCCTTTATTTACTTTATATTATATCTGAAAAACCTGGAATCATTTTGAACAACAAAATATGGATTTCAGACAAAATGGAGCAGAAATCCACTAGATTTCAATATTCATTATGTGGTTCAACATATATAAAAGCAAGGATATGTATTACAAGGCATTAACATGCAAAATGTCAATACCTGCCATTTGTTACAGACACCGACCGCCATTTAGTCGAACCATTGACACTACCCATGCTATAGATACATACCTTCTTTCCGTGTGTCAAGTAATTTGCTGAAGATCTTCACACTGGTGGAGAGCTTCTTCTGAGACATCATACTCTCAAGGAGTGATGTCAAGACAGTATAGCGGAGCGCACGGGACTCAGCTGTTGGTGACGGCCAGTTAAATTCTGAATAAAAATATATTAGGACTATTATTATGTTGATTTACTTGTTTTTCCATTTTTATTGTGGCCAATTAAGTCTAAAATGGCCCAGTCAAAAATATATATATATTTAAAGCTATGTTAGGTTTTGGTAATTCATTTACTGGAATACTCTTAGTTCTCATATAAATATTTTGTAGACTTCAAGTAATGAGCCATTTTCAACAGTCCTTTATATAATGTGTATTACCACTCATTTCATGCACTTCAGATCATTAACAACGGTTACATACGCAATGTATTTCCACCAATTTCATACACCAGTGATCTCCCCAGCATTAAACCAAGTGGGTGCAGCACCCACCTGAGATTTTGAAAATAGGCCTGAACTCACCTGAAAATCCATTTGCACCCACTTGAAAATGAGAAAATCATAAAAATGGGCATATTTTGACCAATTTTGGTTTGAATTGTGAAAATGAGAATTTTGCACCCACTTGAGAAAAAATCTTGTGGAGATCATTGTACACAATGCATTACCACCTTTTACCATATAATTCATGCACTGTACATCATCACAATTTCTTACAATGTGCATTAAACTGTCTCATACATTGCATTATCACACAAAACATAGAGTCTGCATGACCACCCATTTGAGGTGCTGTGCATTACCAACAATTTAAACCACCATGCATTACCAACCATTTCGTATTCTGTGCATCACCACTCATTTCATACACTGTGCTTTACCAATCATTTAAAGCACCATGCATTACCAACCATTTCACATACTGTGGTTTTAACACTCTATTACATACCATTCAAAATGTCAATTGCCTGCTGTTCATTATTGTCTCTAATGAGTAGGTCAGCGATGACGTATGTGAGGTTGTGTGTGCTTGACGTTTCCTTCGGCCATACTATATTATGTACTCGGCAAAGCTTTAGTACCTTTAAACCTGCAACAGGAAGAGGATGTATTTCAGTACAGGAATAAGTACTTTCTGTACCTGGCAAATATGTCCACATACTCACAGGCTGGTATCGAAAGATTTGTCCGCTGTGACGGAGCATGCTATTTTTCATAAAAACACTAAGAATGCTTCACGATTTATTTTTAACTCATATGTTTCGTTATATCAAAGATAATTACTTACTCCATGCAATGGATATATCATTTGCGTGTAACCTTCACTTCTGTTTGAAGTCTAATAACGCAAGGAGTAAAATCCATTGAAAACGGCGCCAGAGTATCAAACACTAAAATGTACCATTTCTTTTTTAATTTTTTAATGGCATGATATAGTGACACGATAATATTAACACATGTTTTCACCATAACTCTGAATGTATTAATGAAATATTAATGTATTGGGTCTTTTTATTAATTTTTTATAAAAAATAATACTAATATTTTTTGTCCGCTGTGACGGAGCATTTTCACAGTTCACATTTGCAACTGCTCCGTCACAGCGGACAAAAAAATTAAACATTATTTTTTATAAAAGAAATAAAAAGACCAAATACATCAACATCTCATTTATACCTTCATAGTTATGCTGAAACCATGTGTAAATATTATCGTGTCACTATATCGTGCCATTAGAAAGTTAAACAAGAAATGGTACATTTTGAAGTATGATACTCCACCGCCATTTTCAATAGCTTTTCTTCCCAGCATAATTGGACTTCAAACAGAAGTGAAAGTTACCCGCAAATGATATATCCATTGCATGGAGTAAGTAATTTTGTATGGTATAACGAAACATGTGAGTTAAAAAATAAATTGTGAAGTATTCTTAGAGTTTTTATGAAAAATAGCATGCTCCGTCACAGCGGACAAATATTTCGACACCAGCCTGTGATAATATAAATTGACATACTCTGGAAAAAATACTTTTTCAGGGCTGCCACATTTTCAAATTGAATTTCGGGGACTTTTTATTGATTCTGTTGTGAAATTTAAGAGTGAAATTTTATTGAACAAAAGGTATAAGGGAATACAGCACGTTCACTGACTTTGTATGATTTTAGTAGTTTTCATACAGTTTTTTCTCCTTTCATGTACATTTTGGTTTGTGGCCCCATTTTCAACTTTACGAAATTCAATTCATAATTCTACTGACAATTCTCAAAATCATTATATTCTCCAACCATTTTGCAATTTTTAAGGAAATCCTGATATCTTTGTTAAATGCGCTACTGATAACAGCAACTGATAACAGGATAAAGACGAGCACCATTCACCCTAAAATTATTGTACCTTATATGGACCCTTACAACTCAAACTATTCAGCTGTGGAGAACCTGTGCATGTTAAAAATAGTTGTTCTCTTACCTAACATGTACTGGTGGTGGCTATGTACATGCTGTAATACTGGAGAGAGGATCCGACCCAATGTGTAACTTGCATTATTTCTTAGTGCTTCGGGCATGTTATGTGCATCTGAATAAATTAAAGGTATATAGCTGAGAAAATCGTTAATTTCCAAATAAGGTCATCCATTCACTCACAATATGAGAAGTTCTTTTATGAAATTAATTTTATAAATTGTTAAAGGCAAAATCCATTGATAAACCTAATCAGACTGGGCACTTGTCTTCTCTTGCACCTGTAAAAATATTCAACATGTTCAAGTTGAATAGATAAGCAGTTTTTCTTGAATTTTATGGACAATATTTTTGTGGGGCATTTCGTGCCAATGTTACTTACTTTTTTTAACCATCAGTCCCTTTACGAACATCTGGATTTTAACTATCATGGCATTGCCATGACAACCAAGGTTTATAAATCCATCTGCGTACGCTTTCCTGTAGCATTGCTTCAAAAGACCAGACTTCTCAGCAACCATCTTATACAATCTGAGCAAGTTTGTCGCATTGTGACTATGAAATGAATTCTGAAAAATATCAAATTGAGCTTCATGTAATATTTATCATTTGTTAGATATGTACAATAAAAATTTGCAGAGTGCCTCAACTTGGTATAAACATAATACATAATTATTCCTATTTTATTACTGAAATCACTTGTATTGAGGAAATTTGCAACCGTTTCCTAATCCTTGTATAAATTAATTTCAAAAATTTTGCCATTGTTTTCATTCCATTTGCCTAATATTGGTAATTCTTTTGAAACAACTGTTTTTGCCCTCATGTCACCACCAGAAGTGAACCCCCTTATCCTTCCAATTTTTTTCTCCACTTTTACTATACACCCTATGCAGACAGAGCCTGTGGGAAATATTGGGTGCGGCGCAAATGAGCGGAGGGTGCGGAGCTAACGGTCATTTTTGAATTTAAAATTGGGATATTTCTGAAACTAAGCCGTTTTGGGACTTCAAATATACCAAGATATGTGTATTTGACACCAAATATCAATAAAATTGTGAAAATAGTAGTGCAATTCATTTTATAGCGACGCAGTATGCCTTTAACATTTCCCAGACCTATATATTTTGAGACTATCCTTTTAATACTGCGTCCCCAGCATTCATAAAAAATGGTGTTCAAGATACACTACCTATGCAAATTATTTTTGCATCTTGGAAGCCAGGCAGTATCTGTGTGATTTTATAAAAATTCGGAAATGTTCTTCAGATATGAGCCCCCTCTAAATATTGGGTGCGGAGTTACGTTTATCCCAAATTTAAATTCAAAAATGACCGTTAGCTCCGCACCCTCCGCTCATTTGCTCCGCACCCAATATTTCCCACAGGCTCTGTCTGCATAGGGTGCTATATAAGTGCTTTTAATGCCTTTATGATGAAAATACTTTTGGAATAATAGTAAGAGACAAATTGAGGACTTACCGATATTTCTTGAATATAGTTTCCGATAGAGGTATTGCCTCTGCCAGTTTGCTCACCCTGGCGCTCCTCCGCCCTATGTCCGTCATTATTTCTATTGTCTCCACCCACATGATCTAACATGCACATTTTCGCGACAGCTGGAGTGATCTGGACTTTATGGACCTTACATTGGTTTATCATTCTCCAGAAATCTGGCCATAGGTTAGCTCTGCAGAATGTTCTGAAAATAGATGGAAATGAAGAGCTTCTTCAATACTGAAAAATATGACTATTAAATACTGAAAATAGATGCGAAAACAGATGGAGCTTCTTCAATACTGGAAATAGATGGGGCTTCAATACTGAAAATAGATGTAGCTTTATCAATACTAAAAAAGATGCCACTTTATCTATACTATCAGTATTTAATTAACAAAAGCGATTAAATTTTATACAAAATAGAAATCTCAATTGAACAATATAACTTACTGTAATAAGAAGTCCATGTAGACAGCTGACAGCACCTGGTTATGCTTTTGCAATATCTGAATCATATATTTGAATTGTGGCATTGTACGATCCTTGTCATTCTGCCATAACTCTATGAATCTTTCACACACTCTGGAAAAACAAATAATTCTTTTTTTCAAAAGTCCAGGTAATACAATGCATAGAGTGAAAAAACTCACTTTTGAAAAAAAAAATTTCTATAAAGTTGCCAAACAGGAGTAGAATTTGACCATCTGTGGAGCAAAAACTACATACTATTTCAAGAAAAAATATGATTTCTCACATATTCATAAAACACATGTTTTTCACCTGCTGATGTTGGAATTTTGCTAGAGAGGCAAATTGGCATGGTGGATGAGGCAAATTGGCATGGTGGATGAGGCAAATTGGCATGGTGGACGAGGCAAATTGGCATGGTGGACGAGGCAAATTGGCATGGTGGACGAGGCAAATTGGCATGGTGGACGAGGCAAATTGGCATGGTGGACGAGGCAAATTGGCATGGTGGACGAGGCAAATTGGCATGGTGGACGAGGCAAATTGGCATGGTGGACGAGGCAAATTGGCATGGTGGACGAGGCAAATTGGCATGGTGAAAGAGTAAAGGAATGAAAACAACAACAAAATTGTTTGAAATTATAACAGTCTTGTACATGAAATAGCAAAAAAACATCAACAAATTATAAAGGCAATTTTAGTCAAAACAACCAGAGAAAATGCCTGCCACCAAATGAACTTGATCCCCCGTTACTTACTTTGTAGGTATTGACTGTAGGCCAAGAGCAATGTTCAGGACCTCAGTTGATTTATCTAACATCTTGTTTGAAGCGAATACATCCAATAGCGCAATCAAAACCTTGCTGGTGGGCACCACATAGTTACCTTTGGTAAGGGCCTTGAATCTGAACCAGGCACTGGAATTAAACAAGGCATATGGTTAACAATATTATAGCTAAACTCAGTTCTATATATTCATACCAAGAAAGATCCCGAAAAGTCAGAAAGATTTGAACGGCTCTTTACGTGGCCTTAAAAATTTGGATGGCCCTTAACTTGGCTCCGAAAATTGGAATGGCTCTAAACTTGACCTTTAAAATTGGAATGGAACTAAACCTGGACATTTGAATGCGACTTACTTGTTATGGTTCCCTATTTTGCAAAGATCAATTACTGGCTGGAACTTGGCATTCAACCTGTCTATTTCCAGCTCTTCCCGGGATTTCTCTGGAACATTGTTCTGAGAGTAGCTGGAAATATAAGTGCAGCCGGGTTAGATTTATACTGGCTGCATCGATACATTTTTTGGGGCACCATTGACCCTGAGCGGCCCAATGGTGTTGTTGTAGTGGGCATTCCAACTTTCTGGGAATACTTGCACAACAAAATGTGTCAAACAAAATGTGTCAAACAAAATGTGTCAAACAAAATGTGTCATTTCAGAATCATTTCATAAGTGTTTAATGAAGGTTATGTCAGGAAAAAGTTTGTGGAGATCAGTAATAATCAAACATTATTTATTATATTTTTTCATTAAAATTATATATTCAAAAGAAACTGGGGAAAATCGCCTTTTGTTTTTGAAAACCTTGTCATCAATTGACTCTAAGAGAGTCCATAATTTTACCTGGAGTCTTGGCCTCTTGACCTTTTAAAGTCAAGATATATCTTACCTTGAGCCTATTGTCTCTTGACTCTATGTCCAGATATATCTTACCTTGAGTCTGTTGCCTCTTGACTCTATGTCCAGATATATCTTACCTTGAGCCTATTGCCTCTTGACTCTATGTCCAGATATATCTTACATTGAGTCTTTTGCCTCTTGACTCTATGTCCAGATATATCTTACATTGAGTCTTTTGCCTCTTGACTCTATGTCCAGATATATCTTACATTGAGTCTTTTGCCTCTTGACTCTATGTCCAGATATATCTTACATTGAGTCTGTTGCCTCTTCGACTCTATGTCCAGATATCTTACATTGAGTCTTTTGCCTCTTGACTCTATGTCCAGATATATCTTACATTGAGTCTTTTGCCTCTTGACTCTATGTCCAGATATATCTTACATTGAGTCTTTTGCCTCTTGACTCTATGTCCAGATATATCTTACCTTGAGTCTTTTGCCTCTTGACTCTATGTCCAGATATATCTTACCTTGAGCCTATTGCCTCTTGACTCTATGTCCAGATATATCTTACATTGAGTCTTTTGCCTCTTGACTCTATGTCCAGATATATCTTACCTTGAGCCTATTGCCTCTTGACTCTATGTCCAGATATATCTTACCTTGAGCCTATTGCCTCTTGACTCTATGTCCAGATACATCTTACCTTGAGTCTGTTGCCTCTTGACTCTATGTCCAGATATATCTTACATTGAGTCTTTTGCCTCTTGACTCTATGTCCAGATATATCTTACATTGAGTCTTTTGCCTCTTGACTCTATGTCCAGATATATCTTACCTTGAGTCTGTTGCCTCTTGACTCTATGTCCAGATATATCTTACATTGAGTCTTTTGCCTCTTGACTCTATGTCCAGATATATCTTACATTGAGCCTATTGCCTCTTGACTCTATGTCCAGATATATCTTACATTGAGTCTTTTGCCTCTTGACTCTATGTCCAGATATATCTTACCTTGAGTCTGTTGCCTCTTGACTCTATGTCCAGATATATCTTACATTGAGTCTTTTGCCTCTTGACTCTATGTCCAGATATATCTTACATTGAGTCTTTTGCCTCTTGACTCTATGTCCAGATATATCTTACATTGAGCCTATTGCCTCTTGACTCTATGTCCAGATACATCTTACCTTGAGCCTATTGCCTCTTCGACTCTATGTCCAGATATATCTTGCATTGAGTCTTTTGCCTCTTGACCCTATAAGTTCAGATATATCTTACCTTGAGCCTATTGCCTCTTGGCCTGATGATGCTCTCCTCTGTGCTGCTTTTGCATGTTCTTTAGCTCTAGCATGGAGTTGGGACAATCCCTCCATCATTGGTTCACCAAATATATGACAACTCGGAGAAGCAGATGGATTCTGAAAATGAAAGTATGCATTTTGCACATATTTATTCTCTTGCATTAAGCCTCTGAATCTGTATAGTATCCTCCAATGTCAAATAGATATAATGAACAGACTTAAATGAAAATGGGTACAATCAATAATATGTGTCATATAATAGATATATATTCCTAATTCTGTTCGTTTTACATGATAAGCAAAACAGATTGTAAGATTGATCATATAGCTGGAGTTGAATACACATTGTGAATATGTCCAAAAGCCTGGACATATGATTTGAACATTTTGTAAAAAAAATCAGATATATTTATATCTTAAATCAACTAATCAATCAACTAGTGTATGTATGTTTAGAAAATTATTAAATTTTCATGTTGGTAACTTGGTCGACACATATTCACTCCATGAATTTGATTGAATAATTTTAGTGCTTACCGTTTCAACAATACCTCCATCTTGAGGATCCTCTATTTCCATTGGTTCATTGAGAATGAGAGTGTCATCTGGGTCGTCAATCGCTGCTGATGAATCCTGGGAAGCCTTTTTCCGTTTTTGTATGATCGTTGATTTTGTCGTAAAAATGCTCACAGCATCATCATTTTCCATGTCTCTGAAGTCATAATGTAAAATACAGGTTATTAAATTCTAATTGGTGAAATCAGAATACTCACTTTCTCTGCCTATTATACATGTTTAACATAAAAAAGAGAAGGAATATTTAAATTTCATAAAAAGTCAGTGATTCAATTATTTATTGATTTTGAATTTGAAACAAAAAATGTGATTTTAGAAAGAAAAACACTTGAGCAAACGAATCTTTCACGTTCCTTCAATATCACCATAAGACTTCTGGCTACTTACATTGAAGTATGTGTTGTACGGAATGACGCTAATGAGGCACCCAAGTAAGAACACTGATCATCTCCAAGAAAAGAATCCCTTTCACTCATGTAAGATGTGTCTAAGACAAACTCATCCTGTGAAAAATGCAAATACATGTAATCAAATATAACATCATTTTTGGACACAAATATTAGGATTCTGATGCTTCAACTTATTTCTCAATATGAAAAAGCAACATTTCAAAGGTAAAACCTTGGAACACCACTGGGACTGGCTAGTGTTCAGATAAGCAGGTGTTTAAGGTTATTTAACAATGTAGTCAATGGGGAAATAAAGAATTGGGACTAAAAATGAAGTTCACAATGAGAGGTGTTCGCAATGAGAGGTGTTCGCAATGAGAGGTGTTTCGCAATGAGAGGTGTTCGCAATGAGAGGTGTTCGCAATGAGAGGTGTTCGCAATGAGAGGTGTTCACAATGAGAGGTGTTCACAATGAGAGGTGTTCACAATGAGAGGTGTTCACAATGAGAGGTGTTCACAATGAGAGGTGTTCACATTGAGAGGTGTTCACAATGAGAGGTGTTCACAATGAGAGGTGTTCACAATGAGAGGTGTTCACAATGAGAGGTGTTCACAATGAGAGGTGTTCACAATGAGAGGTGTTCACAATGAGAGGTGTTCACATTGAGAGTTGTTCACATTGAGAGTTGTTCACAATGAGAGGTGTTCACAATGAGAGGTGTTCACAATGAGAGGTGTTCACAATGAGAGGTGTTCTCAATGAGAGGTGTTCACAATGAGGTATTCCGATATTCAGGTTTTACTGTTTTAATGTACAACTTACTGGCAAGATTTGACTGGTATCAGCATAGTCCTCATCATCTGAGCCATGGTTGGACACACTATCAGATGGTTTGATGTTGTAGGGGTCCTGAAATTAGAAAAAAAAACTTTGTATAATCAATGTTTTTTTCCCCACTTAACATTACATATCATAACATTACATATTCTCCAACTGTTTGTACTGATAAATGATAATATCCCAAAATTTCCAAATTGTTTTGAACTTCTGATTTTTAATTGAATCAAATCTCTACATATGGGCAGGTAGGTATATCAATTGCCACAACTGTCTTAATCTTGCCAATTCTATCTGCTGTATAGGTTTAAGGATTATCAGAAGGAACTTAAAGGAAGCTAAATATGAAGGTTGTGATATGAATATAAGATTGTAATATACCGATTTTACGCGATTTCAATTTTTGAGATCATCTTCAGTATCATATGCCAAGGAGTATATTAACCATGACAAAATGTCACTACCTATTTGCAATTACAAAACTGAACCATTTGTTACAGATGCTCATAAAGATTAAGGCAGGAAAGGTAGAAAATTGTCCAGATGGGACCTCCTTAATATTTAAAATTCACATACCACACAGTCCATGCTTGAATAGATGTCATCCTCCGAGTCTGTTTCTGTTTGTTCATCCTGACAATGGTCCATGTCGCCGTAGCCTATTGCAGTGTCAAACAGATCTTCAGTAGGGACTGCGGGTGTAAAATTGGCAGCCTGATCCACAAAATCCTGTGTAGTAGACGGGTAATTGGTGGTATTTGAAGACCCCTTAGTAGAAGAATCAATAACTGGAGGCCCCTTGCTTGCATCATCATCATCACCTTTGTCAATTAATACAACTCTTCTGGTAATATTTTGTTCTGGATCTTGTTCATCATTTAACCTCCTCTTCTTGGCCAATGTCTGCTCATCAATTGAGTTAGAACGTGCCCTATCTGGGGTAGATGTCCTAGACATATTGGCAGGCCATGACTGACTAAGGTCAGCATTTGACATAGACAGTGATGGCAATTTACTCCCAACATATGAAATCTTGGGGCTTTGTAGCTTAACATTACCCTCGGGTCCTACATGTGATATTTTTGGGGTGTTCCGTTGTGATGGAGAGTTGCTAGACCCCACAAAGGATATCTTTGGTGTCCCAACTCCACCAGATCTTTTTAAAGAAGGTTCCAATAATGGTTCAACAGATGGTTGCTTTTGAGTTGCATCTTCAGTTATATGTTCAACAGGCTCTTCATCCAATTCCGTGGTCCTAGGTTTCACAGATGAGTCTGGTGTGGTATTTGAAGGCATTTGTTTTACAGACTCATTTACATAAGTTATCTTTGGAGTGCTAGTCCTGGATGATGGGGTTGAACTCCCACTTCCTGATCTAACTTTAGCAGGTTGAATATTCCCAGGGGTTGAACTCCCACTTCCTAATCTAACTTTAGCAGGTTGAATATTCCCAGGAGTAACATCCCCTGGAGGTGCCGTTGGGGTTTGAACTTTGGAAGGGGGGGTTTGAACTTTGGAAGGGGGTGTTTCTGTATTAACATATACTATTTTTGGGGTACTTCTCCCAGAATCTGCTTTTGGTGTATTATTTGCAGATACGCTCTCATCGATCTCCATATCTGAACCAATATCACTAGTCTTATCACTAGTCTTACGAGTTTTCTCTTCAAGACCATCAGGACCTTCATTGATAAAAGATATCTTAGGGGTCCCTATTTGATGTTTTGGATGAGGCCATGGTGGTTGGATAACATTAGTAGGTATAAGAGCATTTACTAATACTTTTCGCTTCTGCTCTTTTGACAGCTCAGCCTCCGTTGGTTTTGGCTCAATTACAACATTTCTGGTGTTACTGCTTTGTGATGGTATTTCTGGAGTCGTCACAAGGGAAGCCACAAAAGGTGTTAATGTTTTATTGCTAGGTGCTGCAGCTGGAATTGATTCTAAAATAACCTTTCTTTTACTGAGACTCTCTTCTCTTGCTTGTTCTCTAGCAGCTTGCTCTTCTTTCAGTATTCTCTGGAGTTCCATTAATTTATTGAGCTTATCTACTTCAGACATGTCTGGAATGTCTTCTTTTACTTTGGGCTTGGCTTTGTTTGAGTCAGTAGGAGTATGACTAACCACAGTGACATCTATGTTTGAAGACATGGCTTTTTTAGCAGACTTGTGCTTTTCAACAGTGTCATCCTCAATAACAATAGCATCATCCTCAATAACAACAATAGGATCATCTTCAATTAGGATTGTATCTTTGTCCTTTGCCATTGTACTTATAGTTTTTGTAACAATGAAATTTTCTGAAGTGATTTTTGCATCAGAGTTTTGGACTTCTGTTGTATTGTCTTTCACTTTTGCATTTTTCGATATCATATCCTCTAGTAATGTTGTTGGTTTAAGGTTTTGTTTGCTTCTATCTGCAATCTTTGGTTTCTTTTCATGTGACAAAGAGCTAGATTTGTTTCTACTGACATCCACAACTTCAACAGAATTTTTTCGACGATCTCTTCTTGATGTCCTTTCTGAAGATCTATTGATTTTAATAGGCCTCCTTGAGCAATCATTCCTCTCTGGACTTCTACTCCGAGATCGTCTCCCTCTATCCCTTATTCTTCGGTCTGGACTCCTTGATCTTCTACGATCTGGAGTTCTTCTACGATTTGGACTCCTAGATCTTCGCCTCTTCTTTCGATCTGCACTCTTCGACCGCATTCCTTGATCCTTGGTCTTCTTTTCTTCACTCTTAGATCTCCTTCCTCTACTTCTGCTTCTGGATCTCCTTTCCCTCTCTTTACTGCGAGATCTTTCACGTTTTTCTTTACTTTTGGACCTCCCAGTTGGCTCTTTGTTTTTAATTAACACAGTTCTCTCTTCACTCGAGGCTCCCTTTGTTCTGTCATTAACTTTACTGTTTCTATCCACTTTACTTTGGCGTCTCTGAACCACAACATCTCTTGAAATCCTTCTCCCTCTGTCGATTTTGCCTTTGTCACCTTCAGCTTGTCTTACAACAATTCTAAAGTCATCTCTTAAAGTGTTGCTTGTGCCTTCGTTTTCATGCACTTTGTCAACTAGATCGTTCCCTTCAACACCATCATCAGGAATCTCACCTTCTTCCAGTTCAGCCTCATCGTTGCATGGTTCCTCATCAAATTCATCATAAATTTTTGCATTTATTTCAATTCCATCTACAATAGCATAACCATCTTCTTCCTTATTTCCATCATTCATTTCTTTTCCAAAAGTGTCTTTGTTCACATCACATTCTGTTTCGTGGTCAATAACATCAAATTTTCTGGTGTCATCATTCAATGTTGAAATCCTAACATTGACTTTTTGATCTGTAGAAGGCTCAACATGACTAGAAGTTATTTCAATGTCTGTTTTCACATCACTATCGATCACCAGATTATAAATGCTGTCATCATCTGATCCAGATTCATTCTCAGCATCTGCCTCTGCAAATCCTTTATACAATACCTTTCTTAGGTTAAATTTCCTTTCATTCTCAATTTGCTCTTCTTTTGAAGCTCTTCGTGGTTTCACAGACTTTAAACCCTGCACTGCATCTTTGGGTAGTGTTAAGTCTCTGTTATAGTCAAGCTCTGAGGTTTCACCTTGAACATTTGTGGTATCATCTTGGGACTGAGAGGCCTCCTCTGCTGAGCTGCCAGGAGACTGGCCTCTTGACAGAGAAGCAACTGGTTTTGAAGTTCTGCTTGAACTGGCTGTTGTTAAAACCATTGGTAGGGACTTGTGAACTGCAGCATCTTTTGGTGATGATTTTGTTGGTAGTACAGACTCGCCAAATACAATTGTTTCTGGTTTATAAGTGACAATTTTGTCAGATGTATCTAAACCCATTTGCTTTAAAATATGACCAGGTAAATCCATTCCTTGTGTTGTGTAATGCGGCTTTTTAAACCCCTTTGCTGAGTTTACATTTGAATTTTCTTCTGCATTCTGTTTATTCGGTATAATATCCTCAGGTCTTACAGCCGACTCATAGGACTTCTGAACTGGCCTGCCACTCATAACTCTAGCAAGTTCTTCAACAAGGGTAGGATTGTCTTCATTCTCATTAGACTTATTTTCAGTCGTTACATTAACAAGCCTGTCATTGGCATACTCATTATAATCAGATTCAAATGTTTCTTGAAAATTATCTTCATATACACTAGCACTTTTCTCTTGTCTCTTATAATCTGCATCAATATTGCTAAAAGGCTTTTTACTTGGATCTTGTATGAGTTCAGTATGATAAACTGGCTCATTCCTATATGGTCTTCCTTGAATGTGATCTTGGTATGCATTGAAACCATCATCTGTTGACTGATGTTGAATTTCACTGTGATAGACAGGTTGATTTGCCTCACTATGAACAAAAGTATTTTGACTTTCTGCATTATTGTGAAATCCTTGATCTGGCATTATGTGACCTGGATATAGCCTCTGAACATCATCAAAATACAATCTATCATGCTGTTGATTGCCTCTATTATATGGTTGATATCCATGATGCTGAACACGTGGGTGACGGTAATCTAAATGCTCATCTTTTTGAAGCTGACCTTTAACCTGTTCCATATACAAACGCTTATTTACTTCATTTACTGATGGTGTCAAAAACTGATGGCTCATGTTTTTATCATTAGCTTGATGTCGGTTATAAGTTTCAGATGGTTTACTATGATGTTCTTTATTTTCAACAATTTTATTTTTTTCAAATGTATGTTGTAACTGGTTCTCATTTTTTGTATACTGATCTTGATCAGCTTGCTTGCCCATTTGATGCTTGTGATAAAGGGGATCTTGAAATTCAACATGCTGATCTTTTGGGTATTGATTATAGCCTATCTGTGCTTGGTCTCTGCCATACAAGTATAAATCTCTTTGGTAGGTCTCATGGCTGGCTTGTTTAGCATGTTGTGCATTAGATGCACCATACTGTTGGTGGTCTTTCATGTTCTTAGATTCATTGGCACTGTACACTGTATTATAGTTGTATTCACCACCATTATTAGTATTGTCATGTACATTTTCATTACCATAATCAGGGTTGAATTCATTCTTACGACCTAACCCATCTTTATAGGCCTTTTCATTACATATATAGTTTTTATCATGTCTAATTTGCTTGTAGCTGTCAAGACTAATTTTCTTTTTCTTATGATGGGCAGATTCATTGTCCTCATATGTTGAAGATCCTTCGTGAGGTAAAGGAGTTGTGTTTTCAGGTGGGGTGAATGTTTTCTTAGATGACTTGATCAATTTCCTAGCATGGTCTTCATATGCATGATGATAGCTTTTGGATTCTTTAAGGATTCCCCTTTGACTAATAGATGACCCAGTGACACTTCCTGGGGATGTATTAGGGTGCAATGTAGACGAGGAAGGTGCTTTAAGACTGGATGTATTGGTTACAGCAGGGGAGTGAACAGCAGGGGAGTGAACAGCAGGGGAGTGAACAGCAGGGGAGTGAACAGCAGGGGAGTGAACAGCAGGGGAGTGAACAGCAGGGGAGTGAACAGCAGGGGAGTGAACAGCAGGGGAGTGAACAGCAGCGGAGTGAACAGCAGCGGAGTGAACAGCAGCGGAGTGAACAGCAGCGGAGTGAACAGCAGCGGAGTGAACAGCAGAGACAGAAGGATGAATATTAGATGGACTGGAGTACACTTGACTGTGTTGGTCATTACTAGTGTCACATTCTTTAGTAGTTCTATCTATATCAGTCACTTGTTTTGGCTGCAACGATTTCGTTCTTGATTGGAGTTCATCATTGACCTGCTTTGTCACTTCCTTATAGCTGCCAAAGTGATCATCAAATGCAGCTTGAAGTTTCAGCTTTTCATATTCCGTGTTTTGATTCAAAGTTGTGGTCTTAATTACATCTCTTTGTTTGATTGTAGCTATATTTGGGCCTTGACTAATATTTCTTGTGATTGGTACTTCTTTTATTAGTTTTGTAACAGGAGGTTTAAGATCACTGAATACACCCTTATCTGCAACTGATGTAAGAATTTCTGATGCTTTGCTTCTGTGTGCATCAGATTGATTCATTTTATCCATTTTTTCCTCAGCTGTTAGTTTGGTGACATTCCTCTCAGTACTTTGCTTGGTTTTCATGGTAAACAATGAAGAGATAGCCTTTGCCTTTTCCCTCATATCTTTAGGGACCTGCTTTGGACCACCTTGGTTCTTACTTCTGCTTCCTGTATCCCTTAATTGCTTTCCATCTGACTTAAGATATTTAGGTTCTGGTTTCTTCTCATCCTTGACCTTGGATGTTTCTAGTGTTTCAGATTTCTCAGTTGCAACAGTTGAAGCTGGCTTCTTAGGAATTTTAAACGAATCTAGCAAAGCTGGTCTCTGCATATATTTTTCCTTTCTCTTTTTGAAAATGTCTTTCTCTACTTGTTTCTTCTTTTCCTCTGCTCGTTCAGCTGCTATTCTTTCTCTTTGTTGTTTGCTATAGTCTTCCTTTGAAATGTCTCTCTTTTTCTTTTTCCTTTTTAGCTTGGCATGTTTACCCAATTCATCCCCCAGATTCCACTCTGTTCGGTTAGGTTCTGGAGTTGAAGTGTTACTCCTAGACTTAGCTTTCTCAGACATATTTTCATTTTCCTCATCTTTGTTAATTCTTTCGTTTTTAATTTTCTTACTCAAAGATCCTTCATCTGAAGATTTCTTCTCCTGTTTTCTTTTCTTTTTCATTTTGGCATCTGATTCAATATTACTGTTTGTCATCTCAGATTTGAATCCACAATCTGCATCTTTATTCATTTGTGTTTCATTTTTCTTGAGTTTCTCTTTCTCCTCTTCGATGTTCATAACCATGAGCTTAACTAAGACCTCCTTCAATTTCAATGATTTATATTTTAGAAACTTTACACTTTCTTCATGTTTCTTAAATTTAACTTTGCTCCTAGGCCCTATTTTCCTCTTTTGTGTCATCCCTGATGATGTTAAAGTTTTATCAGATTGTACAGTGCGATTCTCAGATGAAGGTCCTGAAACATCTGCTTTTTCATTGGTAATTGCTTCAATTTTCTCAACTGTATCATACATTGGTGAATTTTCTACAGGTGTGTCATCTATTGCTGTATCATCCACTGGAGTAGTGTTGTCTATTGGAGTAATGTTTGTTTGTGTGTCATCTCCAGTTGTATTCACTATTGGTGTGTCATCTGTCAGTGTTTTATTCACAGTAACATGGTCAACATTTGTTGATAATCTTCTTCCATCTTCTACTAAACAGTTTTCAGCTTGTGTTTTATCATCATATGATTTCACAGGCGCATGGGCCTGTTTTAAGGTGATTGGATCTGGTTTATCTTCATCAGCTTTACCACTATTGTTCTGTGCTCCATGAAAGGATGACAGATCAGTTGGGAAGTGGATATTTAAAACTGCATTAGAGGCAGACTTTGACAAATCTAGTGGCATATCTAAATCAGGAGTCGGGGAAACGATTGGAGCTTCTTCTATATTGGCTGGTACTATATGCTTTCCTGCTTCTATTTTATTTTTAATGTTGAAGTCATCATTCAGTTTTTCTTTAGTTTTACTCACACTTTTTTCGGCTACTGGTTTACCATGGGTGATACTTTTCTCTTGTGTAGTTTGGTCTTTAACTTTCTTCCTTTTCCTTTTAGCTTTAATTGTCTCTGTATCCTTCTCCTTGGTGACTCCCTGTGCAATGTTTGTATCCACTTTGATAACTTCCCTTTTCATATGTAGTGAATCCTCATTACCTTCAATAGTTACATTATTGTCAGTCATAGTTGGTTCATCATTATGAGCATTGCTGTCAATTCGTTGTTCAGTAGCTTTTTTCCTTTTCATTTTAGCTTTGGCCATGCCCTTTTGAGTTGCATCTAGTTCTACACTTGTTTGTTTATTGCTATCATGAATGTCTTTTTCCTTTTGTACAGTTGCTCTATGGTGAATAGGTTGACTCACAATTATTTTATCATCAGTTACTGCATCCTTTAGCTCATGGATATCACTTGTCTTTATTTGGCTCAGTGGTTCTTTATCTGTATTTTGGCAGTCTTTGATGTTCTCACTGATTTCAATTGCTTCTGCATCTTCACTTTCCTTACTGAGAATTTCCTCAATGCTTTTCTTTCTCACATCTTTAAGCCTTGCCACCTTTTTGGACTTTTTCTTATTTTCTTTTGGTTCAACTTCAATTTTTGATTTCTGAATGTCTTCTTCATCTGATGTGTCATCCACAATTTCTACACTTTTATAAGCCTTCGATTCTTTCTTATTTTTTCGCACCACTGCAGCTGGAATTTTCTTCTTATCACTTGCAGCTCCAACTGGACGTTTCTTTTCACTTGTAGTTGGGGTTTTCTTTATTTCACTTGCGCCTCGAAGTTTCTTTTTCTTTTGTTTGCCACTGTTTGAAGAAGGAGGTTGGTATTCTGATTCACCATCTTTCTCCCATTCAATTCCCTCAATTGATGACTTACTTTTCTCTTTCTTCTTTGCGACACTGTCTAATACAGGAGTTACTTCTACTTCTAAGTCAATAATCTCGGATTCATCTTTTTCTAGCTTAAGTTCCTCTACTGATGCTTGTCTGTTTTCTTTCAATTTAGCTAAAGGCACGTCATTCTGTTCTTTCTCTTCGGAAGTTGAGAAAGAGTCTTGAACTTCTTCAACTGTTTCAATATCTTCATTACCAATATATGTCACTTGTTTTTCTTTTGGGAGGCCAATTACTTCATCAGCATCAAGTTCACTCCCTTTCTTCTTCCTTTTCTTTGGACTGTAGGGTAGCTTCTCTTCTTCTAGATTTATCCCATCTGTTTCTGACATTTCTCCAAAATTTGAGACATTAATACTGTCATTTTGAGTGAACATTTCATTATTATTTATATTAGAAGACTCATTTGTTTTCTTTGATGAAATGCTACTTTTATCAACCTGTATGGGTTCACTTTGTCTTACAGATTTCGTAATCTTTGGTGTTTGAGATATGACTTCAGATGGTTTCTTGGTATCCTCTTTTTTATTTGACTTTTTTGTATTAGGCAGCTTATTTTTCAAAGCTTTGGAGATTGAAGATAATTTCATTCCCAAAGGAACATCAGGACTAGAAGATTCATCACACTTAGCAGGAATTACGGTACTTTCAATCCTATCATTGTCAGTTTCTTGAGTAGTTTCTATTTCTGCTGCATTGTTAGAGTTTATGCTATCAATCAATTCGTCACTTTCTTGCTCATTGCCTTTTTCAGTCTGAACTTTGCACTTCATGTATATAATATGTCCATATGAGTCTTCAACTGAATGTATGGTGTTGAATTGTGAAATATCTAGCTGCTTCACTCTAACTCGACCATTTTGGAATTGCTCAAAAGCAGATATGGCACGGCTTGTTACAGTACTCCCTCGATTAGGTGAACCTTCATCACCGGACTTTGTTTCACCTTTTGAAAAAATACAGCTTGTTACAGTACTGAGTGGTATAACTGAATTAGTTATATGACAATCAGCTTCATCATCTGAATCCGTTTCATCCTTTAAAATGTTATAATCCCTGAAACTGATTTCTTCATCTGTACTACTATTTGAGCATGGTTCCTTTTTAATGGAAATATCACTTTCAAAATCTTCTTCATTCTCCATAGGGCCTTCACTCTCAGCTTCATCCTCAATTTCAGTTTTAACTATGCTCAGATCAAAACTAGTATCCTGTAGGTCTTGCTTTTTCTTTGTGCATTCTACTTGTCTTAATATATTCCTTTCTTTTTTATTTAATTTTACTGATTTAAGAGGAACTTGAATAGTAAGATCTTCTAAAGTCTGACCACTTTCTAATGTTATACTTTTAGTTCCATCACCACTAATATCTGATGGCTTTTCAACTACTTTTCTAGTGTTAAGCAGCTTAGCCTTGCCAGTTCTTTTTATAGTTTCAATTTTCAACTTTGGGCTACTCTTAACCTTAGTTCTAACAACAGTTTTCTGTTTCGGGGCCTTTAATTTGGGTTTGCTCATGACATTTTTAAAACTTATTGTCTTCCCCGATTTACGATCAATTTTAACTTTCAAAGCAGCTTTGGTAGGCTTAGACTTCACTGTTTTACATTCTGTCTTGACATTTGGCTTTGCAACACTTATAACTTTTTGAGTACTCTTCTTTTTTGTTGAACTATTAGTTTCACGCTTTACACTCACAGGCTTGGGAGTAGCTGTTTTAGATTTTGGACCATTTTTTGGCTTGGGAGTAGCTGTTTTAGATTTTGGACCGATTTTGGGCTTGGGAGTAGCTGTTCTAGATTTTGGACCAATTTTTGGCTTTGATGTAGCTGTTCCAGATTTTGGACCAATTTTTGGCTTTGTTTTCACTGTAACCTTGGACTGGGCTCTAATTTCATCTTCAACATTAGTTTCAGTTTTGACAGTTTTAGATTTTGGACCAATTCTTGACTTTAAATTCCCCGCTAGCTTAGACTTAGGTCCAATTCTTATTTTAATGAGAGCTTTCTTTAATTTGGGAACTGTCTTTGGATTACCTGCTGGGGGTGTTATATCTGTTATATCTGTATGAGGTTGCTTTTTAGGAGATTTTTTAACTTTCTTCACTCCATCCTTTTTAGGTGTCACGGGTTTTTGGACTTTGGGGTCAGTCTCAACTTTCTTTGCCTTCATTTTGAACCTGAAGATACATATATGAACAACAACATGAAACATAAATAATTATACTCCTTCAAATTATATTTAGTTCAACACAAGTGACTCAGTTTACTAAAAAAGCATTATTAAACAGGCAATGCACCTATTTTTGAAGGAAAATGGACAAAATATTATTTGCGACATGTTACCCACGCACTCAATCAAATATGATAAAAACTTTAATTTGGGTCAATACTGAAGTGAAAAAATCAGTTGCATAGAAAACAGCATTTGAAGTTCAGAGATCAAAAGAAGTGAATTACCACTTTTCACTTTAGTGTATGTTTTAAATAACTCTTGGATTAAAAGATGGCATATGGTTGAAAATCCTATCAAAATGAATGGATAATTAATGCAAACAACAATGCCATCTTTCAATGGCATTGCTAAAAACTTGAAATATATAAATTGATAGATCGAAAATATTTTTTCATGATCTAGTGTCAACTCTGATGTGATCTGTTTGAGCTGTTTTTGGTGTCAAATAAAATATCAGGTACTTAATAATCCATTGGAAACACTATGAAGATCAAAATTGAGACTTCATTAACGCATTTTGTTCCTTTAAATGATATGATTTTGGAATGGAGAAAGAAGGGCAATAGACATTTACAGTTTCTGAAGAAATCTTTTGGATGGGAAAATCCTCGACCAACTGTCAATATACAATATCAAAAGTAAGGCCATGGGGTATTCAGATGATTACCATGGACATATCACCTGACCATAAACCATGATTGAAGGACAATAGTTTTAAAAGCTTCACAGTAATTGACTTATGCATACATATAAACAGGCGGTTCAAAATAACATACATGGTACGCTGTAAATGCATACTATTATTTGTTCTATATTAGTAATGGATTACTTACCGTTAATTAACATTACAAAAAAGATCAGGATTACTCGATTTTTATGTAAACTAGGTATATGACAATTATCTGGGAAATGAAGAGGATGAATCTGGGAAAATTGCCCCTACAGAATGAAAGGCTTGATATGAGAGGTACTTTCTTCATGTAAACAAGTGGTCAGAAGAAGAAATGGGAAACAAGACAAAGTGGAAACTAAAATGGCACATGCAACAAGCTGAAACAGTCCGTCCAAAAGATAGAAAATACTCATACTCAATGGGCATATCAAATAGTATCTTACTCTATGGAAAATTAATTTTGTTTTTGTGAAAAAATATGTTTGTTCATTAGTAAACTGTGCAATTCATAAAATTATCACATCATTGAAAAAACATCAATATTTTATCATGAAAAGGAGCAATTCCGCAGAGCAGATCTCATTGTCTAGTTAGTTAGATATTCAAACAAAAAATCAACAAACTATAATAATTTGAACTAAGCCTCATTTACAAAATATAGGATTGGATGTGACTTGTCTGACATGTGGTAGTTGCAGATAAATATACAAATAGTAAGTGTTTGTTAATGTTCCTTTCAAATGTGGCCAAGCTATTGATACATTGGTTTACTTACATGTCAAGTATTATCATGGAAATAATAATGCCTATACAGTGAACAATGGAGTCAGATTCGCTTATGAAGTTGTAGATAAATCTAAGTGTACACGCTCTAAGGAATGAACTAGTTGAACTCAAATTAAGTAGAGTAATTCTGAGGAAACTATATCATTCTTATGTGTACTTGTAAACTTGGTTACCAATCAGGTTGGCATGTGGTTTCATGCATGTTTTGGCATTTGAGAGTGAGTTGTATTGTTTGTGTGGTAGATTGCTGACAGTTTAGGTTCATTCTCGGCTTTGGTCACTTAAGCACAAACACCTTACAATATTGCAATTTATACAGATATGGATCAACCAGCATCCTGAGGCAACGCGGAGGTTTCGGCAGATAAGACACTTCGAGAGATGCCACGTGGGGAAATCAACTCCACCCAGGGAATTTCTTTGGTACCTACGGCCTGACTTACGGGAACCAGGGCTACAGTTGGCATGGAAATTACTATCCCAACAACATATTGATATTTGTGACCCTCAGCAAACCTTTTTAGGGTTTTCGTGGAACATGTTTGGTGTAAAAAAGTTCTAAATCTTTACCGTATTGCCTTTTGGAATCAGTACTGAGTTTTCAAGTCTTGTCACTCATTAGAGGTCAAAAGGTCTCAAGGTCATTCTCTATTTAGATCTCTATTTAAACGTTTTTGACAGTATTGAACAATGAAAAGTAGACGCCACTTGTTTGAGGTCAGATTTGAACAGTGCAGGATATGTCATTAATGAGAAAAAGTCAGAGTTCAATCCACAGGGATCCTTGACTTGGTTGGGTTTTATTCGAGATATGGATCTAGGCAAAATATTCCATATTCAAAAATTAAACATTTGAAGAACTAGATCGTCTTTATAAATGGATGAACTTAGTACAAATAAAACTTTGACCAATTGACCTCCTTCTTGGTGAAAATGATCAAAAAAAATTTCTCCAACTGAACTTTGTTATAATGTCCCTAACATTCCGAGGCGCTGAAATAAGCGTTTGAATTTGCCGCCAGATACTTCAGCCAATCAGGTGGTGTAACATATATGACCTCGATTATGAAAGTATGTTATTTTTGTAAATCTTTCTGATTGGATGAAAGTCCAGAGACATTTCATGGAGCAGTAAGCTCTCATTTAAAGTGTACAACTGCGACAAGCCCAAGACATCAAAGCTTATGAAATATGTGATGCCTCAAATGGATATGCAACATAGTTGTATGCTGGAAAATCAAACATTGAGCAATCAGAAATTGGACCCACCTACTCTCTTGTTATAAAATGATGTCTTGTTATTTCAACAAAGGAAGCAAACTTTTTATTGACAACTACTACTCATCTCAAAATTTTTATAGGACTTGAATCAACTTTATGGAAATTAAATGATGGTGTCACTGGTACACTCAGACATAACAAAAAGGGAGTTCTTTCATAACCAATCGAGAAGAACTTAATGATTTTAAAACAAAGAAAGGGACCAGTGTTGAAGGATGAAATTGTCATGAAACAACAAAGTTTCTTATGAATTATTTTGAAAACTGAACAAAAAGTGAACTCAGGAGTTCAGGACATCCCATGACCTCTAGAAGTGAGTTTTAAATAAAGTCACAAATTTTGGAACAAAAAGTCTATCAAAAACCACTTTTTGAAAATTAAAAAAAAAGTTTCACATATCACACTTTGATAACATTGGGTAAGACTACAATATAAGCCAGAGTGGTTTAAACTTTATATGGGGACTTTAAGAACTTTAAATCTAAAAAATGAGCAATCAAAGAACCACATTGCAACAGTTTGTGAAAAAATAAAAGCATGTGGAATGCACAAGGTCAGTGTGCAAGACCTAACTTTTGCATATACAAAAACCTGCGAACAGGGAATGCTCTTGGAACTGGAGTTTCCTTGTTCAGAGGTTTTCCCTATAAAGAGGGGCCGCACTTTCAGCAAACTCAAATTTGCCGAATAAGCATGTTTGTGTATTATATTGATTGATTGTACAAATGCCGACTCCATACTTGGTTATGTTCTCCCCATGTTGATTTTAGCTGCTGCTAGCGTCTGATGATGTCTAGTTGATGTAATTATTGATATGATGTGAAGAGATATATTGCTAAGAACTGAATTTCAAGTTTCATCAACCCCATTTTATATCATTGATAATCGAGAAGTTGGATCAGTAAGAGATTTGGCTCAACTTGACCATGTACTTATATCTGTTATCTCGATAAAACAATTGTGTCAGTCCAGAGATTATCACAACTGATTTGATGTAATTGGGTTTTTGAAAGGAAGAATTGGTGTCATAATAATAAGTAATAACAAACAGATTTGTATTAGTTTTAAAATAAATCAGGGTAATTAACAGTGGATGGGATGCTACATCATGTCAACAATTGGCTTATCTTAATCTCAATCATGTTAATCCAAACTTTTTATATTCAGATATTGGCTTTAGACTTTCACACCTCTGTAAAATAATGGAATATACAGTGTCACCAATATTCCATATTCCTTGTTCACAGGTGAATTTTCATAATTTGCCCAAAAATAGTGTTCCTTGTTCCCTGTTCACAGGTTTTCCCTACAGAGAGGGTCAATGGAAAAATATTTGGTTCTTTTGAAAAGCATTCCTTGTTCATAGGTTTTCCCTACAGAGAGGTATTCCATCGGACAGGTTTTACAGTATCATATAGTTTGGTTCATTAATGTGTTTTTTTTAAACAACATGGCTGTGAAGAATCAAAATATAAAAAGCCACATGTCTTGATAGCGAGCTGAAATTTTATGTTCAAAAGAAACACAATAACGTAAAGCTTATATTTCATCTCCTTTGTTTTGGAGCCTGGCTGGCTAAGTCTTGTTTTCTATGCTATGCTATGCAATATTTTCAAATTTATAGTACCAATGAGGAAGCGCAGCCAAGGAAGAAACTATGCACCCTAAATTCATTTGATCCACAGGCCCCTGTTGATAGGCATGATGCCAGTATTGAGCGGATTAAGGAGTTGTGTACTTCTTTGAAAGCTGTAAATTAGTTCTTGTGAATTCTTGCTTAACTTCAAATAAATATACTGTTTTTTAACCTTGTATTAGCGAATGCAACTAACGCCTGTCAGATACCGGATTAACCTCCTATTTTATGGGCAACTCATTTGAATATGAAAAGTACCTGCCATTATTCCATTCATATCTAAATAAATGAGTTGGTCATAAAAAAGTAAGTTAATCAAGTAGCTGCTAGTTGTTTTCGCGAATACAAGCTAATATAGGTCTGGTAGAATCAGGTCATATATACTACTAAAAATAAAGAGGTTATTTGGCTTATTTGCTTAAAATATTATTGAAAGATCAAAAAATGGAAACTTTTCTGGTTCTTTCCTAATGCTTTGCTGATCGGTTTTATTTGGCCTAGATTTGATTTCTATTTATGTTCTCACATTTCACAAAATAGTGGATTTTACATCCTGAAATCTCATCCA